CTTCAGATGCTTTGCATTTTCAAAAGTCTGGCATCTAATTGTCTGAAATATTCTGAGTTATAAATGACGTGCAACATGAATTACTTGCATTCATATGTGGATATCCATGTGCCAACATCAACAGATGCTCCCTAGCTGTTATGATCCTTAAATTCTCTAATGAGCAACAGAGAATACTTGCCTTTGATGTACATTCATGGCATAACTGGAATCAGTGGACCTTGATTTAACATTTGGCAATGAGGCATATTAGCAAAACAAAATGTGTTTACAAATATGTCACTTTCTACAGTATAATCGGAATACATGACATGACAGTATATCAGCAATGAGATGAATGAAATATCAGTTCTCTTACGAGAGGTTCCACGCAGCCCTCGCCCTGACCACGCAGGTTCCACGCAGCCCTTCCAGACCACGCAGCTCTCGCCCTGGATTCGGGAGGCTGCGTGCACTGTGAAGCGCTTCTGTTGTCGACCCTGTCGGCTCGACTCGAAGCCTTCACCACGGTTGCTGTCACCCCGCCCTCCAAACCGCACAAGAAGAAGCGCAGTTCTCAGAGGATACCGGAGCCTGAGGTCATGGTGAAGGGCTTGCCAGATTTCATCCCGCCTGGATTGGTCACCCCCTAAGAAGCCAGTGCCCAATAGGCTCGATGGCTGTTTCTTCCACAGCCGCCGCCTACCGCCCGCTTCCAGATATGCTTCTGCCGGAACTTTACGCTGACCTCTTAAAATCGTGGAATGCACCATTCTCCACAAAGTTCCACTCACATGTCTCCTCGGCGCTCTCCCAAGTGGACGGTGCCGCCAAAAAGTTGTACAACACAATCCCCCCCAATGGAGGAGGCGGTCACAGCGCACCTTTGCCCGCTCTCTGAGAGAGGGCGCTCAAAGTCTGCCCTCCCGTCCACAGCCTGCAGGACCACCACAGCCCTTGTCAGCCGTGCCTCGGCTGTGCTTCAGATGGAACTGCTGCGCATGCACCCGCTACAGCACTGGCTGAACGCCCGAGTGCCTCACCAGGTTTGGGCCTCAGGCCGCAGCCCTGGTTAGCTGCTGACTGGTGCCAGCAGGGTGTGACAATGGGAGCTGTCTCGCGCCGAAAAGTCATCTCGACGGACGCCTCCAAACAAGGTTGGGGCGCCCCCTTCGAGGGCAGAACGGTCTTTGGCCATGGTCAGACCAAGAGAAACGCTTCCACATAAACTGTCTGGAAATGATAATGATCGAGAACGCGCTCAGGCGCTTCCTCCCATTCATATCCCATCCCATTAACCATGTGCTATTCTGGTCGGACAACATGTCTGTGGTGTACATAAACCGTCAGGGCGGTGTCAGATCCAGGAGTCTCTGCCATCTGACAGAGCACCTCCCGAGCTGACTGAGAGCTGTGCATGTGCCAGGCCACCAAAACGATGGCCCAAACAAGCTATCCAGGGACCATGTTCTCCCAGGGGAATGGTCCCTGCACCCCCAGACAGACCAGTTACTGTGGCGCCTTTTTGGCAAAGCTAAAGTCGACCTGTTTGCGTCAAAAGACAACGCTCATTGCCTGCTGTTCTTTTCTAAACACAAGGATGCGCTGGCCCAAACCTGGCTCAGTCTCCCTCTTTATGCTTTCCCTCTGGCCTTTCTGTTACCACAGGTAATCAAGAGGATCAGGGAAACGCACCACATGGTGCTCCTTATAGCCCAGCGATGGGAGAATCAAATCTGGTTCCCGGAGCTGATGCGGCTGTCACACACAGCCACTTGGCCGATTCTGGTGAGGAGAGACCTACTTTCTCAAGCCCGCGTCTCAATCTGGCATCCCCATCCAGAGCGCTGGTCACTGCCCGCATGGGTAATCAACAAATACCCATTGTCTTGCCAGAAGGAGTGATGAACACGATTATGCAATCCAGAACTTCCTTTTAAAAAGACGGCTTTACGCTTCTAAATGGTCAGTGTTCTCCAACTGGTGTGCCGATAGAGATCTAGACCCACAAAGATGTGGGGTCCCACGGTTGCTTGGCTTCCTTCAAGAGCTTTTGGATGAGGGTAGGTCCCCATCTACTCTTAAAGTATACGTGGTGGCCGTTGCAGCATTCACTGAGTCGATGCACGGTCAGTCAATCGGAAGAAACAAGCTCGTCATCCGCTTTCGCATCCCCCCTTTCGGTTCCCATGAGGGTTCTTTCATGGGTCCTGGAGGCCCTGAAAGCTTTCCCCTTTGAACCAATAGACTCCGTGGACCTAAAGTACGTCTTGCTCAAAGGCGTTTTTCTGACAGCTCTGTCATCAGTCAAATGTCTTGAGTTCAGGTCAAATGACTCCAAAGTCATCCTCAGGCAAAGGCACGGCTATGTCCCAAAAGTGTTGGGCACCCCCTTTAGAGTGCTGGACATTTCTCTCTCGGCTCTGCCAACATCCGATAGTGAGGGCGATGTTAATCTCCTCTGCCCTATCAGGGCGCTGAGGGCTTACATTACGCACTCCACCCCTTTCACGCGTTCAGAACAACTTTTTTTTTTCATTTGGTGGGCGCACCAAGGGTCTCGCCGCCTCGGAACAGAGCCTGTCTAGATGGATGGTGGAAGCTATCGCAACTGCTCAGAAGTCTAGAGGTCTGCAATGCTCCCTGCATTGAGGCACATTCCACTAGAGGCGTGGCCTCGTTGTTGGCATGGTCCAGTGGAATTTCCATTTAAGACATTTGTGAGGCGGCAGACTGGGTCTCTCCATCCACATTTGTTAGGTTTTATAATCTGGAAGTTCCTGCCTTGAAGGCAAGACTTCTGTCAGTTTGAGCGGTGTGTATGTCTTGCCCAGATTTATCATGTGCACTCACAGGTGACTACCTGTGACTACACTCACAGGTTTCTGGCTCTCCTGGTTGAGCCGCACTGTATGGTTAATATTATATGGACCGGCATCGCTGCTCTGTATACCCTATATGTACTAATTAACATGTGCTGGCCCACGCTGCTGGTCACCTATTTCCCACTTATCTATGTTCACCGGAACGTGACATCATGCGCAAGGCTCAGTGGTAGGCCTCAGAAGTTGCCCCAAGGCAGCCAATGGGCACGCAAGATAGCCTGCTCCAGGTCTGCTGGCTGCTGCACTACGTTGACAATGTATGAAAAATTAAGGATCATTTTTGTGTTCAATATTTCGAGAAAAGATAACTTTACCCGTAGCGTAAGCTAACTTGCGCAATACTTGTTCCCTCTGAGAACTGAGGTTACTTATGTAACCGAGTATGTTTTATGCATATTTGTAAATTCTCCTCAAAATCATAATCAGTATTTTATTATTTACTTATTTATCCTTTTTTGACCAGGAAAGTCCCGCTAAGATAAACAAAAGAAGAAAAAAAAAATCTTCTTCCATTGGGTTCTGGCCAAGATGGCCGTACCAAAGTTTCACATAACACACAACACACAAAACACACTATTAAAAAAAAAAAAAAAAAAAAAAAAAACATAAACAATAAATAATAAGGTGAAATTGTTGGGTGAACTGTCCATTTCAACGTTTATTTTACAAAGAAATATTCATTGAATTCGCTGCAAATGTGAGTCAGAAAACCAGGAAAGTCTAACTAAAAAAAAAAAATAATAACATCATAGGTCCATCACATTGTTCCAGTTTCAGTGGTTAGTCCGGCCCTAGAATAATCTCGAAACCTGTCTAACGTGTCTTTGTTTTTCTAATGTACATGTGTTTGGTTTTCAAATGTTTCTGTGGAACAGGACAATACAGGTTCACTTATGAATAATGGGAATGGCCTTTATTTCAACATCACAATTTATTTGTAATGCTAGCACACACTGTATGTTTTACTTGTTGTAACATTGATTTCCTTTCATGATAAAATGAATGAAATAAAATTCAGGCACCTTTTCAGTAATCAGCGACATTTTGATGAATGGGAACTATATGTGGAACCATTCTGCTACAATAATTCAGCCAGGCAAGCAAACATGCTGGTTTAAATTTTGATATTTTTAAAGCATACCAGTTTTTATGAATAATTTTCAACAAGATTTAGAAGTGACATCAAATTTGTATACAAATGCCTTTTTGAAGACTAAGACATTCCTTGATCATTTATGATCGTGTGCTATTTTAATCAAAACATTCCTGATATTTTTCCCTGGCAGCAACTTTGTCTGCTTCAACACTTCTCCTAGCATGTTGGCATAGAACACGCAATCCACACAGGCAGCTGCAGTACAGTCAAGCAGTTTTGCATACCAGCACATATGGCCCAAAGCAGAGAGAGAGAGAGAGAGATTCACATAAACGTGAATTAACCCATTCCCTGAAAATCCATACTGAATTCACAGGGATTAAGGACTTTATCAGTCTATACCAAAGAATAGTTTTGGTTGTGTGGCTTATCTGGTCTGATTATCTTCAGGTGTAGTTGGGGAAACAGTGTCATATTAATAACAATAAGATGATAAGGATATTATTTGAACATTTTGGTAAATAATTTCAAACTTTGAGTTTCATTTTATTTATATACTATAAAACTGAAAATAAAATATAAAAAGTGTTTATAAGGTGAGTGACATTTTTTGTCTCTCTTTTGTCTCTCTTGTAGTTGTTGCGGTTCTTGTTGTTTTTTTACATTTAAATAGCTCAAATAGGTTGGTAGGCCTATATTAACACTAGCTATAATTTAATGGCATACACATTAGTCACTATAGTGTATATTAATACAACTGGTTGATGTAGTTGCCAGAAATTTTTATAAAGTGTCTGGATTTTTTATGGTAAATTTCTGGCAACTACATCAACCAGTTGTATTAATATAACAATAAAAACAACAACAACAACAACAAAAATAATAATTACAATAATAATTAATAATAATAATAATAGTTTTACGTACATTACCATTGTTTTTTCTTTACTATACTATAACAGATCCTGAAAACCTGTTTGGATGAATTATTAAATGCATGATGGCAAAGCCCCGCCCCGTTTTGAGGCATTGAAACGAGGCAGTTGCGTAATTTGTCTTGTCAAACGCGTAAAAGCGCTTGACATCTCTGGCTGTCTGTCGTGTCTTTTTCATTTGTGGCATATTGAATGACGTGATCTCCAGTTTATTTCAGCGGAGGACATGCGTTATGGGAAACGCTTTGTTGATCAGGATCCACGGCTAGAATAAAACACCTCTAAGAACTGAGCGCGGAATTGAGAAAGGACGATTACAGTGGATTTAATGACAGTCCATCAAAGCATCACATTCTGGTAGAGTGAATCTGCAATCGCATGTTACATTGGTATACGGTGCTGGGTGCCATGCTTTCCGAAATGCCAGTGTTATTTATGCTTTTGATCTAAAGCGTAACATGATCGCTACACAGCTTATTACATTTTATAGTAATGTTTTCTCATGGTGTTCTCCAGTAGCCTACATATTAAGCATGCTGGATGAATAGTGCTGAACTCTGCTCTGACCTTAATCTGAAAACTCCATAACAGCAGAGCAGCTGTAGGCTCTAAATTCAGATGGAGTATTTCCTAGTTTATGCATAGCAGATAGAGAGAGTGAGAGAGAGGGCTTGCATGGGGGTTCCTTCTTCGGTGTAAGGTAGCAACAAGCCTAGAGTATTTAGACATGCACACAAGCTGACGTGTTGACATAAAAATGACAGGAGTTTGTGTTGATCTTTCAGTTTGAGAGTGTGGATCTACTGTACAGGTAAACATAATAGAAAAAAAAGAAGGCTGAAGATTCATTCCTCTGAACTCATCTTGTAATTATCAGGGATTTCTTCCGTGTTTACTTGAAAGCTTAAAGGATTATGCGAAAGTAATTAAAATGTACAATAAGTGGAGAAAGCTGTCAATTAGGTTTTCCATGTCAATGGCAGTTACTTGGCTGGAAATATACTGTGTTTTGAGCCAATCAGCTGAGTCGTAAATACCATGTGACTAATGTCTGTAGTGTGTCATGACAATGTTGATGGGGAACATAAGAACTCACACAGTCCCAAAACCTTCACTGAGTGACTGAACTGAACTGCGATGTGAAAGACGACAGATGTTTTGTAAGCTTTTAAAAGTCCTCAAAAAAGAATTGGACATTGGTAAAAACTATAATCTTATGTATTTACAATTTTGGTCGACTACAACTAGGTTACAGTTACAGTATCCACCAGCTATGGCTATGCCAAGCTGATACATCTTTATTAACACAATTTCAAGGATTATTGTTGGATATGGTTGAACAAACTTGTTTCTTTTGATCTTTTCATGTATTTTATGTGCAATTTGTGGTGAAAGAAAACCTATTTTTTTTCTGACCCTCAGATCAGACATGGATGGATACCTGCCGCCTCAGTTTCATGTTTTGTCAGAGCATAAGAAGTTTTGTCAAGACAATTCCCTGACGATGGACCAAGGCGCGCCATACAGCATAAACATGAATGTTTTTTTACCTGACGTCACCTACCTACGGACAGGCATGTGTAGACCCGTTCGGTCCGCAGCGACACAGATAAAGACGGAACCGCTGCATACGTCTTTCAACTACTCCAGTTGCCACGGATCCGTTGCGCCTGCCATGACGCACACAGAGTACATGAACCTCTACAGCCCAGCTGCGGAAACGGGTAACAATGTTTACGTCAAGAACGAGACCCCATCCCTCGAATTCCCAGAAGTCCCTCTGTTTCAGCTGTTGAATTCGGAGCTTGAGCCCAACGTGCCTGGAGGCCACTCTTGCACAGATTCCCACAATGCCGCATGCTCTCCGATGTCAACGTACAATGGCGTTAACCCACCGGCCAGTCATGTTGCAGACAGATCTCTTTGTAATATGGGCAGCAGTGGATATTCTCTACCTGCCCAGTTTGGTCAGCATCCTCAGAAGAGGGCGGCCTATCTACCACCATCTCCTCCCAACTCAGAACCGGGCAGTCCGGACAGGAGGAAAGAACTGGTACAGAACTTATCGCCACCTCCGTCATATGCTGCCAGCATGGCATCTAAAATGGCGTGTCTTACTCCCGGACCAGCACTTTCTGTCCAAACACAAGCAGTACCTGCCCAATACAACCGCAGGAATAATCCCGATCTAGACAAAAGGAGGATACATCACTGCGATGTACCAGGTAAGTTTCAATTTAACATCTAGACACTTTTAAGTATGTGAACCACATAGTGTACACTTTATTTGACATGATATTCAAGGTCTTAGAAGGAAACCACGGCTTTTTTCCAAATAAATGACACAGCGGAGGCTTAAATGGCTATTCAGGTGATTTAACGTTGTTGAATAGATGTTGTGGACTGACGTGACTAATCATCTGGCAATTACCGGTCTAGAAGTTGGACTAAGAGGCTTAGGACACAATGGCATAACCTTTTGACATTGTATACCATATGACAAGTCAGAGCTGGCCAGAATGTTAAAGCCATAGTTGACCCATTGTGTACTCACCCTGTCATCCAGACCTGAATGATTTTATTTTATCAGTGGAACAAAAAGGAAGATATTTTGAAGATTTTTTTTTTTTTTTTCAAAACGACTTTTTGTTATGGAGAAAAATCACTTGAGACATTTTTCAAAATATCTTCTTTTAAGTGTCACAGAAGAAAGAAAGTCATACTAGCTTTGGATAAACTATCCCTTTAATGTTCATATAATGGATATAAGGTTTAATTTTAATGGTAAAGGTTATGATGATGTATACTAACATTCAGGGCCGGCACTAGCCATTTGGGTGCCCTAAGCACAAATGCTTGGTGGTGCCCCCATACCCCCCACCCCACCCCCCAACCACCCATACCCATGTATTTTAGCATTGACCCTGCATTCAGAAATACAAGACAAAATATTCATGGAATTTACTGAATCATTAACCATCATACAAAAATATTGCACACATTAGTCTTTTATATAATATAGGCCTATGTGTCACTGGAACATTTAAAACTCAAAACTCTATTCTACCTTTAAAAGAGGTCTGATGAGGCACAATATAATAATTCTGTACATAATTTATAGGGCTGGGAAAAGATTAATCGTGATTAATCGCATCCAAAATAATAATGTTTGTGTCTACATTAATGATATAGGCCTATGTGTGTGTACTGTGTATACTTATTTTGTATATATATATAAATGCACATTTGCATGTATGTATTTAAGAAATATTTGTTATTTATATATAAAATATTTTAATTTATATATAATATAAATTATCTATAAATATATACAGTATATACATGCAAATATTTCTTAAATATATATGTGCATATGTGTGTATATTACAAAATAATTATATACAGTACACTCACAGATCATGTAGAAACTTTTATTTTGGATGTGATTAAGCTTTTCCCAGCCCTAATAATCTAATCTAATAATAATTCTAATTGCAGTTTCACCAACAGATGTCGCCCTTGGGCCTTTGACCGCATTATCCGCATAGAACAACAACGAAAAAACGTATCTAAGCGGTCTTCCTTTTCTTCTCAAACAAACTAACTGCATCTTAAACAGCCCAAGTTGAAAAATTCCCCCGGACCCCCGTTAAAATAAAAGATTCTACATGCTGAGCAAAGCCCTGGATCATTTGCACAACTACTAGCGACGCCCCCCTGGACATGCATACACGAAGCAAGGGCGCCTACAAAACTAACACTTTTATTTAAAACATTGTCTTAACTGCAAGCGAGTATTATCCCGCTGTCTCTTCTTTTCCCCTTTTTCCGCCCCCGACTCTTTGTGCCTTTTCGAGGCCATGTCTGATGTCGATCAGGTGTCTGCCAAATTTGACACTGATTGAGGAACAGACCACTGCAAGGTGGGGAAGGGGGGGCACCAGAGGGAGACTGGCACAGGAGATTCACCTTTTTCTCCAATTTGGTCTAGCCTAGGCATATTACTTTTGTATTGCTTTTGTATATTAACATGCTTTAGACATATTTTATTTGTTATTTATACTAGTAGCCTATTGTGATGATTTTTCACGACCCAGATTTTTTGGTGCCCCCCCCAAGCACTTGGTGCCCTACGCGCAGTGCGTGATGTGCGTGTGCGGAGCGCCGGCCCTGCTAACATTTATTCTATTATTTGCCAGGATGTAAGAAGGTATACACCAAGTCATCACATTTGAAGGCCCATTTACGTACTCATACAGGTAAGTAAGACTTTGAATAAGAAGCAATATCACACAGACAACAGAGCTGTTCACACAATTTTCAGTGTGATGTTGCTGTCATACAATAGTTCAATAAAGTTAACTAAACAGAATTACACATGTAGTGATTTGATTCTGATTCACAAGCTCTCTATTTTGAGTCATTCAGGCATGTTATAATGTCCCTGGTATGGTAAATGACAAAAATATTAGTTAAAAACAACATTAGTTAAAATCAACCCTCCCAAATTATGCAGTTCAACATACTAATCAATACAACAAAAAAAAAAAAAACTAACCTTTACCAATTTATTCTGTAAAACATTGTAATATTTTATAAAATTATACTTATTATTCATGGGGTTTTGTTTCCATGTAAAAATGTCCAATTTGATGATTTGTTTGTGAATCAGATAATAATAGTTGTGCTGTGTGTTATATTGTGTACAGCCCATTAGGATGACTCAATGGAAAGCCAATGTTTTATACTACTGAATTGTGATGGTGCTCTCCCCTCAAACTGAATCGGCCTGTGTTTTTTGCAGGCGAAAAGCCATACAAGTGCTCATGGGAGGGTTGCGACTGGCGCTTCGCCCGCTCTGACGAGCTAACGCGCCACTTCAGGAAGCACACGGGGGCCAAACCTTTCCAGTGCGCCGTATGTAGCCGTTGCTTCTCCCGATCGGACCACCTGGCCCTCCACATGAAAAGGCACCAGAACTAGAGCTGCCCGCTCTCGTTGTTCTGACGGTGCCGCGGGAGGGCTATCAGGACCTCTGCTGATGATACTAATTAGGATTTGGGTGTGTTGGTTAATCTTGGGTTTTGGCAGTTCATCAGGTACAACAGGACCAAACCCTGCCGTCGGTACGGCTCCTGTGGTCACAAAACCAGCTAATTGGTGAGAACTTGGCTTATTTGCCAGTTGGGACATTCTTTTGACATGTTTCTTTTTTCATCTCCATACTTTGATGTCATTATTTATGACATAACTACTTTTAATGTGCCTTTTTTACCTTATAGAATCGAAGTGCCACAAGAAAATATAAAATGTGCAAGATCTTGTGGGGGGTTACAGTTTTACTCCACTATAGAAGAATATTCTGGATTTAGTAAGAAGTTAAGCTTAATTTACATAATTTGTGGTGTAATGTTAATTAACACAAAAACTTCTTTAAAAATAAATAAATAAATAGTTTACCGTGGAAGTGGGGCCAATTTGAAATGTTAAGCTTATCATTTTATGTAAGCACTTGCATTATTGCTTCTGTTAAAACTTGTTCTTTTATGGTCATTTTAGAGTTTGCTTTGACATTGTATCAAAGTTGTTAAAGTATGTTAAAACATACTTTACGTCTCGTGGCTATACAATTGAAGCGTCAAGAACTGAAACGTTTACAAATTGGCCCCATTGAAATTGAGTCATGTGGTACCACAGGTTCTTTTAGCTGAGCTTAACTTGTATCGAAACCATAGTATTCCTGTAAGCGACTACTCGTACTTTTATCACAAGGTAAATAATATCAAGACAGAGCTGTAGTCTTGGTTGTTGAACCAAACCCGCAGAACAGTCATGAGTATGTTAGCCACGAACGCTGAGTCACAATGTATTAAGGTTTCTTAAAAGCAGCACTTGATAAGAAACCGTGCTTCAGAAATGTGTGTGGGAGACGTCGGGTAATTATAAAATGAAATGAAGCTCCAGAACACCAAAGAGTTGGATTTAGTCCAAACTATGATATGTGTCGAAGAGGATTCACTTTACGTCGGCGAAATGTTTGAAAGAGCACAATCTGAAGCTTGATTGAACTCCTTTATGTGTTTTATTGAAATGCAATAAGTGGTACAAATACTGTATTTTTCCTGGCAAGAGGACAGGTTGGATATCGATTACTTCCATAGTTGTTTGTTTTTCCTTACTATGCATTTGTTTGGGATAAATGATAGCTTTAAATGTACATAAGATGTGTATTTATTTTGCACAGATTGTTTTTTTGTTTAGTTTTTCATTTGTATTTTATAAAACGTAACTCAACGATCACATGAAATGTGTACTGGGTTACTGGGAAGTGGTTTTAAAAATCTTTGTTCAAACTAATAGTGCTCTAAATGGCTGCATTATGCAGAACAATATGGCAGATGATTGTTTACATTTGTTAGTTTGGCTTTTGGTGTGTTACATTTGTATGTGTGGCCTCATAAAACCTCTTTATTTTCCATTACAGTGATAAAAATGTTTTCCACCTTATTACAATTGACAAGCTGATGTTGTTATTGAGATGGAAGTAAAATAGACGAGGACTTATGGAGTTGTTTTTAATGTAATAGGAGGATCCACAGTGTTAAAGAGAGGGGAAGAACATATTTGTAACGAGAAGTTCTTCATTTTGTGACCAAAACCCAAAGAGAATAACTCTTAATCACCGTAATTAAAGGTTCAGACTGCTTAAGATTAAACACACCCTCTAATCGCTCTAATTTCCAGTACTTAGGTAAGTACAGTAATGTAAAATATGTACATCATTATTGTTATTATAGAGGCAGATCTTTAAAGTCTCAGTATGTTGGGTTAAACTGGAGTGTCCTGTTACAGTCCTGGCTCACATGTGATTAGGTGAATAAAGAGGTGTGGTTACAGTTGTTGATACGGTCTGTCAGATTTTAAGTCACTGAATTAAAAGTTGATAGTGTTGAGTGGTAACACCCAATTAAATTGATACGATAATTACCTTGACTGTATACAAATCACTGAGTAACAGGAGAAAAACCTCAGTCATGGAAATAACCTGACGTTTTCACAATGCATTCTTTTTGTCGTTAGGGTGTATATTATTGATTCAGTTCTTCTTACATAAGCAACAGATTCTGAACACGAGTAATTTACCCATTTTTCCCTAGGTTAGTAATGGAGACTGATGCTATCATCCAGGCATGAATAACAGTCAGGCCTACACTGGAACAGATTCACCAAAAAATGTCAACTTAATGGACTACATGTTAGTGTAGGGCTAACTTCAGAAGTATGTGTGCTAACAAGTCCTAAGTCGGAAGCATGTATAATTATTTAGTATTGATCAAATAAAAATACAATTTCCAAATGGAGTGCAAGACAATCACCACGCTTGAGGTAGATATTGTCCATCTTTCAGTAAGAGTTTTATCTTTTAAGATTTTAGCAGAGGTTATCATGCTAGCTGCATGCTACGTCAGCACATGTAAAACCTTACTGGTCAAACAGTGGTGGTATTTGAGTATTGGTGATTGAGTATAAAACATTTTCATGTTATATAATACTTGTTAAACATGACCGGAATCAGCCCGACTGCTTTGTCTCTGAGGAAGATTGTTATCATGGAGTCAATGCCTTCATGTTTCTTTGAAAAGACTTGTGTCAATAGGAAACTCGTTTATTTTCTTTCATGCAAAGGAACAATAGATTAATTCACTATTTGACCTGACATTTAGATGATCTTTGCAGATGAGAGTATGGATCAAACAGTAGCTCAGCTGTGATCCTCTTTAGTGAATGTCATTTACTGAAAGCACTTATAGGATCACTGTGATGTTGCTCATACCCACACTCTTAGAAAAAAAGGGTTAATTGGGGTTCTACTGTATGTGAAGCATGGGTTCTTTACTCAAAGAACCGTTTAAAAAAAAGGTTCTATAATGTCAAGAAAGAACCCTTTTGGAACAAAGGTTCTTTATAGGCTATAATTCTGCAACATTTTGTAATTAAATTATTGTTTTTTTTTTTTTAAACTGGTGTAGTAACTTAATATCACATTTTAATCATGCTGAATTTTGGAGGAGAAAAATTGAACTCTTGGAGGAGAAAAACTGGCACTCTTCGTCTTGATGTTTGATGTTATTTGCTGTTATTTAATCCGGAAAGGACAAAACAAATGATAATGAATGAACCCAAAAGTTTCCATTAGGGATGGCTTGATACCACAATTTTGGCTTCGATACGATACCAGAACCTAATACCTCGGTATCGATACTAAATCGATACCACAGTCGGAAAAAAGTCTAAATTTAAGTGAATTGAAACAATTTTATTAAACACTGCTTGAAACTCTCAACTACCATATGTGCAAAGAAAAGTATCCAAAAAAAAAAAAACATATCAAAATTTAAAAAATAAACAAATTATGTGTAGGTAAAATTTTGATTTGGGGAAAAAAACCACTGATATTATACAATTGAAATAGGTTAATATCTATAATAATAGATTAACATAATAGAATAATGAAATGACATAAACCATCAGCTGTCATGCATCAACAGAGAATTATCAACATTTATTGCATTTATTCATCTTGGTTTGGTTACTGTTTGTGTTTGGGTTCATAATATGCATATAATGCATTGCAAAAAGTAATGTTATGATGCTAAACATTTATTAGGATATTACATTTTTAGGTCATTTTATTACTGATTGATCTAGATTAATCAATGCTATATTGTTAAGCCAGGTTCCTTAGTGAATGTTGACAAAATTAATTGTGGGCTTATATTATTAATATTTATATTACTACCATCTCTCTCTCTCTCTATGGGTCGCCACAGCGACAGTAATGCCATTCATTTTACTATCACTTTTATGCTTTATTAATTCAAATTAAATGAATATATTTGTTTGAAACTGCAAAAATGATGAGTTCATAAGACGGTAACTTAACTGAATTGGTTCTAGCGTGTCATGCAAGAAGATTTGAGCTTTCGTGTTTACCGTATCATATTTAATTGATAAGCTCTTATGTATGTGCGCTGTTCAGTGTTCAATAAAAGTCTAAATTAAATCAGTTGAATGATGAACTCACCAGTTGATCTCTTGAGTCTTGAACAAGTCAGGATGAGCAACTGACGAGCGCTTGCATTCCATGGCAACACATTATTGAAAGCAAAGTTTGCAGAGTGGTGCATTGAGGTCTGTTTCTACACTATTCTCATTAATTTAGTAGGCAAAGTAATGCCTTATTTCACTCATACTGCTCTCTCTCTATTTATTAATTTCGGGCGTGTAGAAATCCGAATGAGCTTCATTTCCACCGTGTTCCTTCGTTTGCCGGTTTCGCGTGACTCGCGTCAGTTTCGGTAGCGCACTGCCGCCTAGTGGAGAACTTCGGAACAGCAGCTCATCAAATACCGAATTTAACAAAATGATGATATTGTACCGTTTGAAATTTATTATATACCGGTATTTTTGCAAAACCGGTATACCGCGCATCCCTAGTTTCCATATAACCTTTTCCCTGGTTACAAAGAACCCTTAAGGGTTCTGTATAGAACCTTTTAGGGGTTCCAAATACGTAGCGCTTGATAGAACCTTTTAAGGTTCTATATAGAACCTTTTCTTCTAAGAGTGCAGGCAAAACCATTTCATTTTCCCACAAAATCATTGGTTTGAAAGCAATATCAATTGAAATGTTTCACGCGACACAAAAATCATCATCTGACTTCTAGTCTTATAAAGGCTCATGATCTCAGATAAAAACACTACTGTTCAAAAGTTTGGGGTCGGTGAGAAGTTTTTTTTTGTTGTTGTTGTTGTTAATGATTTAAAATTTTTTACAGTCTCTTATGCTCACCAGCAGTGTTGGGGTGATCCATTCCAAGTAACGCATGTTACGATCAGATGACTTTTTTCAACTAACTACTGTAGTAAAGTAATATTACTTTTACATTTGAAGAGTTCAGATGCAAAAGCCTCTAAGTGCCATTTGAAATTTTCTTCTAGAATGATCATTTTTATCAAGCTTGTATATTTAAGTTCAGTGATTTCACTAAAATGGCAATGATAATTACCAATTAATTGTTATTTAAGTGAAATTACTGAACTTAAATATACAAGTTTGATAAAAATCATCATTCAAGAAGAAAATTTCAAATGGCATTTAGAGGCTTTTGCATCTGAACTCTTCATTTACTTTTTTCAAATAAGTAATGCAAGATACTTTGTGCTGCCATTTATTGACATACCTCTTCTGTCCCCATGATGAGAGAAATCAGGAGTAGCCTAAGTGCAGAGGCGTAATGTGTGTTGTGTATAATATGAGGGTTATTGTAGTTCTAGACTAAATGTCAGCAGGTACTCATCTCACTGGCACTAAAACATTTCAATACTCCTCAAAAATAAATAAAAAAAAAACAGTGAAATGCAAACTCGTTGCATAAGGATAATATGCAAATATATTAAATAACAAATATACTTTATATATTTAATCTCACCTTACTAACCAATGTATCTTCAAGGGAGTAACATTACTTTTACAAGTAACTTTTCCCGACACTGTTCCAAGACAACATTTATTTGATCAAAATTACAGTAATATTGTAAAATTCTATTTTCTATTTTAAAATGTAATTATTTCTGTGATGGTGAAGCTGAATTCTCAGCATCATTAGTCCAGTCTTCAGAGTCACACGATCAGTCTAATATGCTGATTTAGTGCTCAAACAACATTTGTCGATGTTGAAAGGAGTTACAGCTTGACATTTTGGTGGAAACCATGATAATTTTTTTTTTTTTTTAGGATTCCAAAAGAACATTTATTCGAAATAGAATGTGCCTTAGGTTCCATTTATAATGTTCCTTAAAATGGAACATTATAAATTGCTTCACTGTCACTTTTGATCCATTTAATGAATAAATGCATTAATCCACCCCCCCCCACACACAATAAATAAATAAAAATTACTGACAGAAATAGTGTCCTTTTCTGTTCTGTTCAGTCATGATGTCGGTTTGTTGTGTAACCTAATTTAAAAACGAATTAAAACTAATTTGCCTAATTTTGAATTTCAATGATTTTTATTTATTTATTTATTTATTTATTTTAAATATGGTAGCTTTACTTGTTAGCAACTTTCCTAATGTTACATTACTCTAATTCAAATGCTATATTATATACTGTACATAAAACATTCTCATGGAAATCCATGAGACAAAAAAGCAAATATTTTTCCAGGTTTTAGGACTGAACATCTTTATTCTATTATCAGTTTTGAAATGTTAATGTGAAGTAAATGTAAATACGTGACTTTATGCCAATATTTTCCATACAAAATGCAAGTTTATTAACTTCCATGCCTCCAAGATTATCAAACAAGTATAATGTATAACCTCAATTTCAATTCACAGCTCAATCTTCTGGAAAAGAAAGAAAATACAGAGAATAGCAAAAAGCACAAATATTTAGACAACTTCTGGAGAAGCAAAATAAAGCTGAAACACTTTTAACCTCTGAAACGGGTATCTTGTGACATTGGGAAGTGACATCCTCCAATGGGAAGGGAATCCCTTTGAAGATTAGCAGGGGGAAATATCACAATTTTACAACAAAACCAAAAAAAAAAAAAAAAAAAAAAACTCTGAATATATTTACAAATACACACACTATACATAAATACAAGAAATATAATTACAGAATATCAGCAAAACAAGAAACAAAGGCCATTGAGTAAATACTTGATTCCAAAGAAAGTAAAGCAAATACATAAACAAAGGTAATATTTTACAGAGACTGAAGAGGGGAAATGCTGCTCACGGAGGAATTATTACGCCGTACCACCAGTGTCTTAACCTTCAGAATATTTCCTGTGACTGCTCGATTTCCATAACTGAGGACGACGCATCAGGGGTTCACACGACTTTATAAAGTCAGAGTTGGGTAAACCAGAGTCCTGTTAATTAAGCAAATGTGTGCTTCCGTAGGTGAGTATTACCCTATAAATCTTATGCAGCTTCCATAGGAGACACATAAAGAATGTTCAACAAACACCAACCCTGGATATTTACAGCTTCAAAATGGTTCATAAGGCTCAGTGCATTTTAAAAGAACAGATCTTTGTGTCATGTCCGGGTGATTAAACCAGGGAAACCGTGACGTCCTGTACGTGAGGATCTTCATAATACTAGGCACTCGTCATTATTGCATAACTTTGACCCTGTTTGCCTTTGCAAAATTATGCCACAAAAAACATAAGAATGTCAAAGGAGGGGGGAAAGTAATGCAGAATTGAGTAAAACAACCCTTTATTTTGTCTGAAATCTTTCCAGTAGAATATAGATCACTTTATTTGTTGCTCATGACTCTTGCATACTGTGCTGGATACACTGTTTTCTCTTATTCACATTTTAAGAGTCAGTATAAAAACATTGAAATAGTTGCTAAAAATGAGGCAGCACTGCCTGAATACTGTAATGAGCCTATATATATATATAGGCTACTGGTCAACATGAAGGTGGGTTAATGATGACAGATTTTTTCAGTTTTGGCTGATCTATCTCTTTAAGATGTCAAGCCTTTATTGTTCTCACACATACTGTAGAACAGTTGAACAGTTTTTTAATTATATTAGCTAAATTAATGTCTCTGAAAAATCTGCATATTACGTATAAAGATAATCCCTTGTATTTTAAAAAAGCCCTATTTTGATAGGTATTTACAGCCTGTAAAACGGAGCAATATCCTTTCACTTTCACATATATTACAACATCTTTAAAAGTATTTTTTTGTACAGAAAATAGTCATATGCTGATGAAGTGTCCCACATTACAGACACGCTTCAAAATACAGAATATGATAAGATACATTGGTGATAAATGTCACATCTACCTTAAAATAATTACTTCCTTACTTCATAAAAACAAGGTGCTCATGTTATGTCCAAGCCGATTAACAACAGAATACACACGTGTTTACACAAATACAGAGGAACATAAAACATGGAGGATCATAATACTTCAGAATGAACAAACAAACAAACAAACAAAAAAATGCTAGAAATTGATTGGTCGTCTCTAACTGACAAACGGTTACAGAATGATTCTCGACATGTTTCCTTTCACAGCACTTCAGTTTTCTTTTGTTGGTGACAAAAAGTCCCTACATGCACCAGCAACTGTGAGATTGATTGTGTGTTTGATCACCTGATCTGTCTGTGCATGCAGTCAAGTGGCCTTTCTCAATGTAAATTCTAGTAATATCTAATCATTTGAGAAGCGATCACATGACTTTTCGTAGCCACTTGAAATTGCATATGGATCAAAGGGACAAAAGTCTTACAGATGTCCTTCAGAAACAAAATTAGTTTAGTGAAAAACATATACCTTTACACAAACTGGGGAACGTACAGTGGATTTATCTGGGTACAGTATATGTTAAATTAAATTACTTGTATTCATAAAAGCATGGCATATTGCTTCTTTTGAGTATCTTGGTTATTGTAGTGTGTGTGGCTATATATTTATAAATTAAGAAATCCTTTTAAGATAGATAGATAGATATAGATAGATAGATAGATAGATAGATAGATAGATAGATAGATAGATAGATAGATAGATAGATAGATAGATAGATAGATAGATAGATAGATAGATAGATAGATAGATAGATAGATAGATAGATAGATAGATAGATAGATAGATAGATAGATAGATAGATAGATTGATAGATAGATTGATAGATAGATTGATTTCTAGAGGAATTTAGCTCACTGGTCACTCGCCCTCCTCTGGTCACTTTGGGGATTGTTCAAACGGTGTGATGAAAGAAAATATGTGTAAAACAAAACATTGGTAACATTTTATAATGAGGTTCAATTCATTAAAATTAGACTTTATGAACTAACCATGAAAAAAAAATAATAATAATAGCATTTATTAATCTGGGTTAATGGCAATTTTTACATCTACCAATAGCCTGCATTTGAACATTTTGTTTAATATATCATAAACAGAACAATTGTATAGTTATAATTTACCATTTAGCCTACCTAGATTTGTAAATGCTTTAAATACTGTTGTACTTCACACTTCCATTCAAAAGTTCGGGGTCAATAAGATTTTTATTTGAATTAACACCATTACTCAGCAAGGATGTATTATTGTCAATCTATTGTCAAAATTGTTAATGTCAAATCAAAAGTGACGATTAAAAACAGTAATAATGTTACAAAATTGTTTTATCTCGGCTTCCAGAAAAATATTAAGCAACACACTTGTTTTCAACATTATTATTAATAATAAAAAAAAATAATAATTCTTGGGCAGCAAAACATATTCAAAGGATTTCTGAAGGATCATGTGACACTACAGACTGAAGTAATGATGCTGAAAATTCAGCTTTGCCACCACAGGAATAAATTAAATGTTATATTATATATAAATACATGATATATTAAAATAAAACAAGGTTATTTCAATTTGTAGTAATAATCCTCATTATTATTTTTTTATTATATATTTGATGAATTAACAGCACCCTTGGTGAACTTAAGAGACTTCTTTCAAAAACAAAAAATAATTATAGACACCAAACTTTTGAAAAGTATTGTACACAGTAAGTTCAATGTTACCCGATGCATTAACTGCTTGAAGTGTTTTTTTAAAATAATTAGCAAATGGATGAACTGATGTTTGCAAACACTTTAACTGAAGCATTAACACAGTACTTACAGTACTTCAGTAAATAAAATGTAAAGGACAAAGCCTATCACTGCTGCTGTACTGACCATAAATTACATCTAGGCTTCATAGTACAAAAGCAATCTCAGAAAAGAAAAAAGAAAACCTCTGGATATTCTACAAAGCGACTTTACCTCCAAAATGTGGCAGCTAGAAATCCACTATAAACAGAAGAGCTTTAGGAATTATAGAAAACAAAGCGGCACTGATAGAAATTCAAAGTTTTGTCCATGTTTCAAAGCCACCTGATGTGATAGATAGATAGATAGATAGATAGATAGATAGATAGATAGATAGATAGATAGATAGATAGATAGATAGATAGATAGATAGATAGATAGATAGATAGATAGATAGATAGATAGATAGATAGATAGATAGATAGATAGATAGATAGATAGATAGATAGATACGCACTGTATAAGTATAAGAGCAGACCAACTCACCTATCTGGTGATCAGAATGAATATATTGCTCTTCTACCTCGAGTTACCTGTCTTAGTAGACCCTCATTATCCAGATTTACTCTAATTAGTGAGTTAGTGTTATGCAATTAAGACAAATGTGGATGGTAGACTGCAGAAGCCCAAGTATGTTTTGTCTGTTTATCAATTTCAGTTTAAAAACAAAGGTTGTGGGGAACAGAAGATATAATGACCCAAAATATGTTGTTTTTGTTGCGTAATCTCCTTCGCTGGTAAGTTAACCTGTAAATGGCAACCTCTGTAACCTCCAGAATCACTGGCCCAAAGTCTCCGTCATCAGAAGAACTGCATGATCCTTCACAGATGTGTCTGGCTCTTGATGTTCCGCAATAATGTAAATGTAAAAAAAATTGTGCAAGCATACAATTCCCGGTCAAGCTCCCCTTTGCATCTTCCAGAACAACACGTAAAGCCCTTCCACTCTGCGTTTCTTCACATTGTAGATGTCGACTGAGAAGCAGCCATATTTAAACAGAACACAAGGATGATTCAGAATGGAAAAATCAGAAAACGAACCGTTTGCCCGAGTGAAATATTCCTTTGAACACACATGAGACAATCAACATCCTGGACTCCAAATGTTTCAGGCCTGTAGAGGAGCCTCGTCCCTCCCTGAATGGACCCTGTTTAGCTCTGCAAATGTGAGGAAAGCATTGTACTCCTCCTTCACTTGTTCTTTTATCCTCTCTCTCTCTCTCTCTTTCTCAGGGGCAGGGATGGCCATTTTTGTATCCAGCCCAGCTGAACACTATTGGGGGAGATCCAGCTCTCCCTTGTGTGTGTGAATTCAGACCAGCATGTGTCTGCGACGATGCAGGGCCAGATGGTCTGAGCGGGAAAAGCTTCGGTCGCAGTCCCCACACTTAAAGGGTTTGACCCCTGTGTGTTTACGATAATGCCGTGTCAACTCGTCCGAGCGGGCGAACTTCCATGTGCAGCCGTCCCAGGTGCACTTGTATGGCTTCTCACCTGGTGGAGATAATGGATCACACTTAAGCAAAAAAAAAGACACAGATACAATTCGTAAATCTGAACCAAATTAAGACTGGTAAACTAGAATCCCCCAAAATCGTATGGACAGCATTTGTGTGCTCACTTACCTGTGTGTGTCCTCCGGTGTGCCTTTAAATGGGAGCTCTTAGTATAAACCTTATTACAACCCGCAAAATCACACCTGTGGATGCGTCTTTTCTTGGAGTCTGGAGATTCAGGTGGCTGAGGCCGTCGAATGCTCTCAATACTGAATGGTGACATGGAACTAAGGCAGAGAGAAAGACATTTAGTTAACACTGATTAACACACACCATTACAATGTTGCAGGAAATAGCCAACTGACTAACTTGTTCAGCATCCTAAACAAATCACCTAACACAGCAGCATGCATACAAGCTAATTGCTGCCACCATGTGGTAACATGATTTTAAAGCAGTAGTACTTGACATACTAGACATGAACCACCTTTGTGTCAGTTTTACGTGTCATTATCTTTATTATGATAAAGTGTTTCAAGCACTAATTTTCAGCAGCAGCGTTCGCAATGTGGTAAATATATGCGTCAAAACAAATTAAATCATTTCACCACAGATGTGATTGTTAGTTTTCCATCTTAATGTAATGCAATAAGAAGTAAATAATGGCAAGAAACATCTTTGACATTAATCTACTGACTTTTCCTCACAAGGTACTGTAGGGTCATTAATAATAAAAGTAGTCTCTTATGCTTGCCAAAGCTGCATTTATTTGATCAATAATATTGTGAACTAATATTACAATTTAAAATTGTTTTCTACTTTAATATATTTTAAAATATAATGTATTCCTTTGATTTAAAAGCCAATACTCCAGTCTTCAGTCAGGTTAATAAACATTGGTCTAGAAACATTATCATTATAAACGTTGGAAGCAGAATGTTCATTTGAAACTGTCATAAAATGTATTTGAAATACAAATCTTTTGTAAAATTATAAATGTCTTTACTGTCTCTATTGATCAATTTGATCTGTTATTGCGGAATAAAAGTACTATTTTTTTTTAAAGAACATTTTGAATAATCTCTCTCTCTCTCTCAATATATATATATATATATATATATATATATAGTAAATACACACACTTTGTTCAGTACACCTTGCTAGTACCGATTTGGACCCATTTTGCCTTCAAATCTGCTTTAAAACTTCATGGCATAGATTCAAAAAGGTGCTAGAAACATTTCCCAGAGATTTTGATTCATATTGACATGATAGCATCACAAAGTTGCTGCAGATTTGTTGGCTGCACTTCCATGATGTGAATCTCCTGTTCCACCACATCCCAATGGTGTTCTATTTAGTGAACAAGGCAGGATGGAGCCATGCTTTTATGTTGTTTACTCCAAATTCTGACCCAACCATCTGAATGTTGCGGCAGAAATCGAGACACCTCAGAGTTTTTCCAATCTTCCATCTTCTATTGTCCAATTTCTGTGAGCCTGTGTGAGCCTCACTGTCCTGTTCTTCTTTCCTGACCTCTGGTATCAACAAGGCATTTTTGCCCACAGAACTGCCGCTCACTGGAAATTTTCTCTATTTCAGATCATTCTCTGTCATCCCTCGAGATGGTTTTGTGAGAAAACCCCAGTAGATCAGCAGTATATAAAATGCTCAGACTAACCTACCTGGCATCGACCAGCATGCCACTGGCTTCCACATTCTGATGCTCAGTTTGAATGCGTGTGTGTGTGTGTGTATATATATATATATCAAATTATTTCCCTTATTGCTAATGTTTTACTCAAAATATATCACTAGATGGCGCTGTAGGCTATAGCTGCATGTTGATGGTACAAGTCATCTGTTCAGAGGCCAAAAAACATGCATTTTTTCTTACAAAACCAGCCATAATTCTTATAGAGATGTGATATTTGTTGCCTGTTAGTTTGCTGTTAGTAAAATCCAAGAGAATGTTTTTACATACTTAATCCAAATCACATTACAGGATCAGATGAATAAAACCGCACAGTATTAGCACACTGTCTGTTCTGATTGCTGTGGGAAAATGAATTATTGCCATTCCAGACGGTAGGCCCGATTTCAGACTGTAAAGCTGGCTCTCATTGAGAGGATTTGTACATATCAACCAATGAGCTCACTGAACTGTTGGAGAAGAGCAGAGAGCCACGTAAGTGTTAGGACACACTGTGTATGAAAGCAAGAGAGCGTACAAGTCGTTTTGTTCCTTTTCTCCCATAGGTAGAGACAGAGAGGAGTGCCTAATTACATTACATTGTCCTCGCTCGCCTTCCCTTCTAAGGTAATAAGAGCTGTATGTCCCCTGCTTTGCTGATTGGCATGGGCCGGGCCTGGGGGCGGAGCCAGACAACCCCTCCAGTGAACTGTCTCCACCACACGCAGCCCACTTCCTGTTTCTCCCCTGCTCCTGGGTCACCTGTTGGTGTTGGTGCGCTGCCAAGCGAAGGCCTAGCGGAAATGAGCCAATGTGTGAGAAATGAGGCTGAACTTTCTCGCTGCCTTGAGCAAAAGCACAACGAGAGTGAAAGAGAGAGAGAAAGAGACCCAGGAGGGGAGAAGTGAAATTGAGAAGAGGAGACAAAGAGAAGCCGAGAAAGAGGCAATGAGGCAATGAGCCAAACAGGTTGTTTTCTCTCTCTCTCTCTCTCTCTCTCTCTCTCTCTCTCTCTCTCTCTCTCTCTCTCTCTCTCTCTCTCTCTCTCTCTCTCTCTCTCTTTCTCTCTCTCTCTCTCACACACACACACACTCTCAGAGAAATTACAAGAGAGCGAAAGAGAGTCACAGAGAGTTTCTGTGAGAATGAAAGTTGGTGGCAAGATAAAAAATGGAGGGAGGGGAGGGAAGGGAAGGAGGGAAGGGGGATGTTGGAAGGAGAGCTTGGAGGGAGCATGAAGGGAGTGACAGGATTTACAGTGGAAAGAACTCTCACTGGATGTTTACAGTCTGATATATTTTAGAGGGGACGCCACTGACATAAATAGTGATACAGTAGTCTGAATCGTGGAAAATGACTTGAAAATACATATTCACCAGACAAGTATGTAGACACCTCTTCCATTTTTTGTCCTTCTCAAATCAGGTGCATTGTCTATTGACTTCGACCAATATATTATTTTATTAGATCAGCCAAAGCTAAAAAAGAAAAAAAAAAAAACTGATTTATAATTACAGCTTACAAACACGTGAGGGAAACTAATATTAAAATGAAAAATGAATATAAACACATTTTTGGGCCGGTAAGATTTTTAAATGTTTTTGAAACTAGTCTCTTATGCTGACCAAGGCTGCATTTTTTTCTTGTTCAAAAATACAATAAAATGTTGTGAAATTTTATTACAATTTTAAAAAGCTATTTTCTTTTTCAAACATTTTTCAAATGGAATTTAAATCCTGTCAAGGCAAAGCTGAATTTTCAGCAGCATGTTCTGCAAAACTTTTGTGATATTATACATTTCACATTTCTTTTATGCCTTTTTATTTTACAATTGAATGTGTCCTTGACGCTTGCTGAATAAAAATATTAATGTCTTTCAAAAAAAAAAAAAAAATCCAAAATGATTGAATGGTAGCGTATATGTATATAATTTTATTTATTGATTGTTTTTTTTTTACTAGCTTTTCTTGGGATTTTTGGTTGAAAAACAACAACAACAACAAAAAATAAATAAATAAAACATTGAAACTTTGAGTAATTAATTTAAATATCAACTAAATCCATTTTCGGTATATCTTTAATTTAAATCTATAATGTAATAAACATCTAGCCAAGAGTCCTGACATCCAGTCTCACACATCTGCTGTCCTCCCTTGCAGGCACCAGGTGTCCTTTAGATTCAGGTATGGTGCAACGACACCAAGTACTACTGTAGGATGATCTCCTGGTTGGATGGACTCGTATTTTGCCAAGCCCAACCCTCACACCCCCAGCACGATGAGGACCAAGCTACTTTTAGTTATACCCCACTTTTTTCTTCACTTTTATATACAATTTTAGTTGAATCAAAGTCTTTATCCATGTCCAGCCACTGATCCCCCATACGCTATGCCGTCACTAGAACATAGAAGAGCTTTGCAGGCCAGATGATGCCTCGACCTTTGAAACACCTCTTGTGTAAACCCCGCAACCCTGTAAATCCTGCCGTCCTGACTTTGTGCTTTTGTCTGTGTTTGGGGGTGGGGTGTATGAATTGTTTGGTTCTATAATAATAATAAAAATAGTAGACAACAGCCTATGCGTCCACAAGCTCACAAGCTAATAAAAATAATCATTTGGTTCTAAAATGTTTCAAATCAGAATGAATTGAGCTTTTGCTCCTTTTGTCTCAGCTCTCCCTTCAGAGTAACCAGCGAATATGCTCTGAAACGCTCCCCTAAACATACACTCACAACAAGACCTGCATCTCATCCAGCAATCCCTAAAAGAGAAAACAGGCTTCAGAAAGGAATGACAGAGAAGAACCAGGGAGAGATTTGGTTATGTATGCCTACTCCAGAGTCTAAATATAAAATAATATAGTAGAATATTTATTATAAATATTGTATCAATACTAATTGAGCTATCCTTTTAAGTCAGCACTAGTTAATGGCAAAAGTATCCCATATAAGTCAATAATAGATATCTATAGGCCACAGCAGTAAATAATAATTAATATAATCAGACATCCTTAGTACTGAAGTTTGATAATGCCCGTAATGCAGGAACATGCAAGTGTGTTTCTGTCCTAAAAGAACTGTGTCTGTGTGTGTAGCCACAGTCCCAACCTGTCTGACCGAATAACCCTTTGGGACTCGAGGGACCCAAATTAACCTGCCATGGCCGCTTTAATGATATTACAGTCCCTTTCCCATTGGGATTCATAGATTGCTGTTGAACACACAAAATACAGCAACTCACATGTAGTAGATGCATTTGTCACTCAGAGAGGCGAAAGGCACAGGCTTTTTATCTGTTCTTCTGAAACTGATATCAGTCAGTTAAAGCCAGATATCAGCACATAACACATCTGGCCTCTCGTTCAGAGTGTAATACACGGCTTCTTTAGCAGCATGGATATTTAAATTAAGTGCAGAGCTAGCAGTTCTCTCTCTCCTAAATTGGCTCGTCTGGTGTTGAGGACAGTCTTATAGTGGAGACTGAGTCATTTTGGGTCGGCTGTGACTGGCCTCTGACAGGTCCGTGAGCTCGGTTATTTTAGTCCCGCGGGCTTCACGGTGCCAGCCAACCTATGCGTCCACAAACTCACCCCTCAAAGGGAAGACATCACTCCTACCGTTAGACGCTCTGGTCTCAGTTTAGACTGCAATTTATAGCCCAAATTTTCTCCTTCGATTACTGCGCAAAAACACCGACCCAATTAAATGACAATATTCTTCACCAAACACTTCCTTGATGTGATAAATGCTTATTTGTTCATGTTCATTGAGTCCGCCATGCTATCAGTGTATTTTATGATGACGCTGCCCACAATGTTATCTTATTTCACATGCTAGAATGAACACAGCTGCACACATGACCTCTTTCTCCATCTCTCTCTCTGTAAACAGCCAAAAGCAGCAGCTCTCCCAATAACACCATTCTTGCAAACCTGGTTAAACTGTGTTTTGGCATTCTGCTGCACTGGGGGGCAAAGTCCTAGTACTGTTCGTTCGCAACACATTCGGAGCAAAGGGAAACATTTGCAGGGAATAAGTGCATGAGCTCTGACATACAGAGGAATCCAGGAATACTTTCCAAACCATTTGCCTAAATAACAGTCAGACGACAGGGTGCTGGTAGGGGGGCTGGCTTATGGAAAACTCTTTGGGAGAAGTCCTAGTCTGTTTTTTACAGCCTGCAGGCTTAAGAGTCTTCTGGTTTTGATCATGTCACTGTCTTTAATGGGACGACTACCTCATCTGAAGTAAAGAGTAGTGCGGGCAAGAATGGGAGATGACAGCTAATGTTCCCAAAAAACTGTTTTTTCAAAGAATGGCCTATAAGGAAACGCTTCACAGTTTGCACAAGTCTTTTGATAGGTGAAAATTTCCAACTCTTTAATACATTAAAGGGATAGTTCATCCAAAAATGACCATTCTGTAATTATTAGTTCACGCTCTTGTCGTTCCAAACCTGCATGACTTTTTGTTCTCTGGGGAAGATTTTCAAGAGTGTTTCTCCATACAGTGAAAGTCAAAGAGGTTTAAAACAACATTCGGTTTATTTTTGTCCATACAATGAATGTCATGGGGTCCAATCAAAGACATTTTTTTTAATATATCTTTATTATGTTTCGCAGGGAAAAAAGTCAAACAGGGGAACAACACAAAACTGTAAATAAATTTTCATTTTTGGGTGAACAACCTTAAAGCAGTGGTTCTTAACCAGGGGGTCCCAATAAGTATTCAAATTACCCCCCGGTAATTCACAGACAAGGCTAAAGGCCCTTGCACACTGAGTCCGAAATTCGCGTCCGAAATTTTCCCACGTTAAAAAACCAGGGGGTCCCAATAAGTATTCAAATTATTTATATTAACCCCCGGTTTCAAAGACAAGGCTAAAGATCTTTGCACACTGAGTCCGAAATTCGCGTCCGAAATTTTCGCATATGACCTCACGTTATGTCAATGACGCTTGCACACTGCCTCCGAAATGTTCGTCCGTCATAAAAAAAATCGAATCGGTTTCGATTTTCTGCGTTTTTCGCATCCGTAGCAAGCAGTTTGAATGCCGTTTGAATGGTGTTTTGACAATTCAGAGCCACAAATCACGTGTACGAAAATATCGGACTCAGTGTGCAATGGCCTTAAGCCTAGTCCCAGCCCAAAATGCATGTTTTAACTGAAAGCAACTTGCACTGACATTCCTTAAAATATGTCAGTACATTTGTTTTGTCTCAAGATGCACATCAGTAATGTTTTGTTTTGTTTTTTATAAAAAACTCAAATGTCCTAATTGAAGAAAGTTAATATAATTAATATAAATCTAAATCTCTGTGTAATCCTAGTTAAGATGATAAAACAATTCACTAAAAATTCAGATGTACAACATTAAACTATCATCATATTTGGGAGTTTATTTATTTTTTATTACAACATATCAGTAGATGGAAGGGACCTTGAATATTGTCTTGGACTAAGGGGGGGCCTTGGATTCACTTCTTTAAAGTCAAACTTCAAAGCAGACCGTTAGCAGTATGTCGATACCATTTTCTAGCTGAAGATTGCCGGTCTGCATATGTTGGAGCTTGATTTCCAGTGCAGGCTGGTGTGTTTGTGAGAGTGTGTATTTGGAGGATACTCACTCCTGCACTGCTCGTGCTATAGACAGCGCTGTGGATCCTGTTTCATTAACACTGTCCAAGGTCACGTTTGGCAGGTCGTCATCATCACTGTCACTTTTGATTTGTCTTGGCGACAGGCCATTGGGATCTGTTTGTGCTGCCGCAGGGGGAGAACAACAGAGGAGGAGGTTAGTTACATGACTGTAATATGCGTTCTGCCCGAGGCCATTCTCAGGCCCATTCAGAAGCTCACAATATGCCACATGACGCTGAGCAGAAATTAGCACAGCATTTCAGGGTGTTTCTTCAACTTTTGGCACCTTAATGTCCCTGGGGTTGATTTTTATTAAAACGAACAGATTTCAACCTTTTTTTTTTTCAGTTTATTGTATTAAGGTCACTTTAACTGTCTTGGAAACATTATCGTCCCCTCATTATTTATATTTGCAACTTTTCAAATGCCCAAAAATAATATAAATATAATTTTGATATTAAACACAGTACATAATTTTGAGATGGCTGAAATGACCCTGCGGTTTATTTACTAAAAGGTTGACAGGGCCAAAAGGGTCCTTGGGAAAATTAACACCCTTCAATTCATCTTACAGCACCTAAAAACTTATTGGTAACCAGCCACAATACAACAGCATTTCCAGCGACACAGTCAATTTCTGTCCTCATTGAAAGTGAATGCTGCGGGTAGCAGTGCTATTTTAGTATTATTTAATTTTGTATTATAGTACTTACTATTTACTATTATAGTATTTATTAATTTTTTGAATAGGCTTATATTATTAGCAAATTTTTATATTTTATTTGTAGCAATATTCTTATATGCTTTTTGTTATTTTAATATAAGTTAATTTAATATAATATATTGAATATTTTAATATAAATGTAATATAATTATATTTTAATATAATTTAATATTTAAATAAGTAATTTACTTATTTATTTCAGTTAGGTGCCAAGGCAACATTTATTTTTGCTTTGCAAGTTTTTAATTTAATATTTATATTTATTATATTTCAGTTTTATTTCAATTTTTTTAAAGGACTCTTAATAGTTTTAGTTAACAATAACAACAATGGTATGAAGTGACAGACTCAGACAATCCAACCCGATCTCACGACCAAGTCGTACGAATTCGACGAATGATTAAAAAGTGGCTAATTCGTAACAATTCATACGACCTCACTCGTACGAATTAATACGATTTTGCTAAATCGTACATATTTTACGAATTGGCCAATTCGTATGAATTCGTACGAATGACCTACCCCTTACCCCGCCCCTAAACCTAACCATCACGTGGGTTTAGACAAATCGTACGAATTAGTACGAGTGAGGTCGTACGAATTAGTACGAATTAGCCACTTTTTAATCATGCGTCGAATTCGTACGAATTGGTCGTGAGATAGTGTTGGACAATCAGAACATAGTTATTCACCTAAAAAAAAAAATGGAAAAAAAATGAAAAAAGTAAACCTTGAATAGAAGCATCTGCCAAACACAAAAATGGAAACGGAAAAATATTGATGCTTTATCATGTCCTGGTTCGGACATAATGTACTACGAAGACAACAAGTATTTTAATAGCTAATGATACATTTCAGGTGTGTGCTTGTTTGTGAGTTTGTCATCAATTACAAGTTCTTAATTCAGACACACCTGCATATGTCTTGCTGTATGTCATTGTTTTAGCCTGGCGGTCACAGTACACCCATCTCTGATTACTGTATCTCATTCCCCACAGATTGAGAGCAGCATTCTCCCTGACTCAAAGCTTTGTTAATATTATGTGGGTTAGCCCAGGCTGCAGGGCTACACTTCTAATTTGCTGCTCTCTCAGCAGTCTGTCAGACCTGATCCCGGATCAGAGGTGTCCGTGCTGTCTCCCAATCAGCCTAGGGCGGTGTGTACTGCGGGCATGTCACCAGCACAGGCGATCAGACACCCGGAGAGCATAAAGACAACAGCTCTGTGCTGCCACCCACCCTTTATTTCTAGGGGTGTTGGACATAGTTATGCTGCCAATTTATGAATTTCTGTATGAATGATGGGAAAACTTAAGATGTCAGTTATTAGAACTCAGAAGCATTTAAGTGTAAAACTTAAACATTTTGAGGGCCATGTTTTTTTGAGCTGCGACTGCAGACAATGCACCTCAGTAAACCACACACTGATAATGTTTTTTTTTTTTTTTTTAAATGTTCAAAAGTGACATTAAAACCTTTAAAATGTTTACAGAAAATGATTTTAAAATGCTGAACTTTCTATTCTATTCAACGTTGATAAATAATAATTATTTCTCGAGCAGCAAAACGGGATATGAGAATGATTTATAAGAATGATCATGTGACACTGAAGACTGGAGTAATGATGATTACATTACATTTCAAAATCTATTAGCACATATTTTCAATTATAATAATATTTTGCAATACTTTTGCTGTATTTTTGATCAGGTAGATGCAGCCTTGGCGATGACGAGTATAAGAGACTTTCTCTAAAAATCTTACAGAGCCAAAACTTGTGTGCATACAACCCTGCGAGAACACACCAGCACTCCTTTTTTTAAATGTGCAATTTACTAGTAAAGAACCATTAAGTTAAACATCACATGCACTGGTCTAGCTTTACACCTATTGCTTTTTACCGTTAGCCATAAGCTGTTTCTATGCCTTTTGCAAAGGGGCTTAAACATCCACTTTAGCCACAAACGCTCAACAAAAACTAACGGAGGATTTCAACGAAATATTAATTAGACATTACAAGAGCCTGGAGCTTTTCTCTCTCCTTCTCCATTGTGTCTACTCAGAGCAGGCTAGACTCAAATCAGTTATAGCATATTGCAGATTATAACCTCTAGGCTAATTCAAAACAATTTATTATGATACAAGATCAATGTTCAAAACAGATCCAGAATCATATTTGTATACCGTTGATTCCCCTGATTATTTTTAATGCACAAAAATATTTTATAACTTCTTATTTGTACTATACTTTTGAAATTGTATTCTTTTATTTAATTGTTATTTGTCTTTTTAGTTTGTGCTGCACTTTTTAATTTGCTATATACCTCAACTAAAAGATGCAAGACTAAATTATGAGGAAAACCATCTTTAAAAAATATGAATAATTTTGAATTTCCTCTGTAGTATAGACAGATATTACAGCATTCGCAAATAAAAATGCCTGTCTTTGTACTGCCCGTCAGCTGTTTCCACCATAATCCATTCAATCTACCTACAGATAGCTTGCCTGGATATTTCTTAAAAACGACCATATAAAGGCAATGACAAAAGCGAGAGTTCATAAGAGGTGGTGAAGCAAACCCCATGATTTCTTTCTCCTGTTGTTTCCAGCCATTGCCTGTTTCCATGGTAACTCAGAAGAGACAGAGCTGTGGAGAAGGGCACACCCCCTCCCACCTCCCCCTAGCAACCTGTGCGCGAGTATGCGTGAGCATGTAAAAGTGTGCGCTGTCCATTGTGTTTCCAGCTGTCAGTGGCCATGATGAAAACATTTACATGTAAGTGCTGATCGGTGCATACTGGTGTCTCAATCTAGAGGTAAAATGTAACTGTTTCACTATCATGTAAGCATATCACCGTCTGCTACCCTGTTGAACCCGCCCAGGTCTGACCCCATTTCCTCTGTGCCGTTTCAGAGCTCTCTGGGTGGAGTCCGTGTTGCTATGTTCATAACTACTCGCGGTGCCACCCATCTTCAATATCCGCCCCACCCCATTATGCAAACCTTGTTTTTCCTCTCTTTCCTCATCTGAAGCTGAGCAAGACACCCAGTATTTAAATCCTCCTTCTAGCAGGATGCCCAGCCCTGCCCAACCATTTGGGACAGACACCCTTCCCAGATAAACAAGAGGTTGAGCAACAAACAGCTCCCTTGTGCCCTCCGCTCGGGCCGAACACCATTTGACAGCAACACCCAAGAACATCATGGCTTACTGCCAGAGTATTAAAACGCCCTACAGGAAACCAACTCTAAACAGCAGTCCGGTGAGGTCTCGAGAGTTTGGGAACGCACCACGCAAGATGTGTGCTTCTGATTAGGGCATGATGGACTTGAGACAGCAACACATATCCTACATTTGAAAAAAAAACACATTCATCCCAGGTTTAGTGTCTTAAGATACTGCATAACTGTGGGGCTTAAGTGTTCAATACAACTCCCTAGATGGATGTTTCTTAAACAATGGCCACTTTCGGCCCTGTTGCCCTGAGTAAATTTGTCTACTAACAATGTCCAATAGAGGCCAAACATCTATTCCAGGACAATTTTTGTCTTTTTTTTTTTTTTTTTTCTGAACATTTCACAATTTTGTGGTGGAAAGGACATTTTGAGGACACTTCTTCTTTTTTTATTTAATAAAAAAGAAACCTTAATCTAGCTATGGCTATTTTCACAGTTAACACATTATGTATCACACATAATTTAATTGAAATTACTATAATAAACTATGGTACCATTTTCTTTTGAGCAATAATGTTTCATTCCTCACTGAACACTGTTGTGTCCTTGGTAAACAAGTACACACACTTATATATAAAACATTATTATGGGAAAAATTGCTGTTTGAGGTTAAAAAAAAAAAAACACCGCAACTGTGGGCTAGACGTATAATAAAAACTGGGATGTAAAAGTGCCTAAAATTGAAGAAACACCCATTTGTTAACTTGAACAACTGTAAGAAGCACATCTCTACACTGTAGCTGTAATCTCAATTGTGTTTCACATTTGAGTCCTGTTAAAAAGAACAAAATTCAGACCTTTCATGTTAAAAAACCCCCACAAAAATAAAATTTCAACAAAGTGAAACAGAAATTTGCTTAATGTTCACTTAATCTCATTTTTGGTTCATTAGCAAAAGACTAATAGTTCACTTTGCTTTTATGCTGTATACTATATATATGAAGAGTTCAGATGCAAAACCCTCTAAGTGCCATTTGAAATTTTCTTCTAGAATGATAATTTTTATCGCGCTTGTATATTAAAGTTCAGTCATTTCACTTAAATGACAATGAAGATTACCTATTAATTGTCATTTAAGTAAAATTACTGAACTTAAATATACAAGCTTGATAAAAATGATCATTCTAGAAGAAAATTTCAAATGGCACTTAGAGGGTTTTGCATCTGAACTCTTCATATATTTTACACATATCACATACTCCCTAACAGCAGGAAGTACACAGGCAGCTGAGGATAATCAACTGCTGTTTGCATGTCATTATCAGTATGGTGCTTTTCTGTGAAAAAATTAAACTAGTTTTACAAATCCAAACAGATTATTTTAAATCAGCTTTAATTTTTTTCCCCAGTGATCAAAATTTCATTCGATTTCAGCATTCCCTTTGGGGCAGGTTGATGTTAAGTGCTTCCTCCATGGGCACAGTGGTGATCAATTAAGTAATTATCAAACTGTTAAAGGGATACTCCACGCAAAAATGATTCTGTCATCATCTACTCACCCTCAAGTTGTTGTAAACCTGTACAAGTTTATTTCTTCTACTGAACACAAAGGAAGATATTTTGAAGAACCACTGACTTCCATAGTAGAAAAAAAAAAAACTATGGAAGTCAATGGTGCCAAAGTTCCAATCGTTCTTAAAAATATCTTCTTTTGTGTTCAGCAGAAGAAAGAAACTCATAAAGGTTTGAAACAACTTGAGGGTGAGAATTTTAATTTTTGGGTGTATCCAACTTTTCAACTCAACTGTATGAAAAATTAATCAACTGCAATTATTGAACAATCCAAAAATGAGGTCCTTACCTTTGCCCAGGCACTTGGCCTCGTCCAGTAGAGGTAACATGATGGTGGAGTTGAGGGTGGAAGGAGAGCGTACGGATGTGGTGTACATGAGGGGCAGTGACTGCACCACAACAGGGATACGGTGCACCTGACTGGGCAGTTTACTGGGACTCGAAGGGGGAACAGGGTGGATGATGTGCAAAAACTGCTGGCCTCTAACTCCATGAGAAGAGCCCACCAACGGCCCGGGTGTCAAAACGGAGGGCATTCCCGCGGAGATGGAGGCGATGACGGAAGGTGAGGACGACGATGATGAAGAAGAAGATGGAGAGAAGGCTGAGGTAATGGGTGAGGTGTTGGATGAAGGAGACGATGTCCGTGTTTTGTTGATTGACAGGTCCACGGGCTCCGTCTGGGTCTGGAACTGCTCGGATGAGAGCAGGTCTTCTGGAGGTTCTGCCTTCACTTTGCTGAGTAGGATTGGCACCGACTCCATATCAGGATAGCCGTGCACTTTGGGTGACTGTGAGGAAGAAATATATAAAAGCCATGTAAATCTCTTTAATTAAATTTCTAAAACAAATGTTCATTGATGAGCTCTTTTTTATTTGCATAATGACAGTAATTCATTGATTTAAAATAATAATAATAATTTGTTCATTTTTTATATGTATAATTGTATTTAAATATGAACTCTTTCCCTACCAGCATTTTAAAAATATATGTATATATATTTTTTTTTTTCCAAAACTTTCATGGCCCCCAAAATATGTTGTTATATTTTGTGTTGTTTAAAAGCAAAGGCTCATGTTGTTTTTATTTATTTATTTATTTTTTGAAAAAAAAAAACATTAAAAACATTTGTTCAAGACAACATTCTGAAAAAAAGAGGAGACATTCTCATTTTTGTTAAAGACTACCACCGTTTCGGATTCAGAGTGGTGATCAAGACATAGATCGAGTCCATCAATACCCACAAAGCTTGCACAGCAGTATATCTTGTCCTGGGTCGACATTTCTTTCGTTAACGGTAGCCAGTTTTGATTTAAATGCTGTTTAATGTTTGTTGATCGTGTTAGCTTACATGTTTGTCAGCCATGCTTTTTTCGTTTATTTCTGCTTCTTCTCCGCTCGTTTTAGATCCAGAAATTCAGTACAATTTCAGGAAGATGTGTAATAGAGGCCCCTAGTATTACAGTGAATCAATTATCGGAAAATCAATTCAATGAAGCTATAGATCAAATGATGGAAAATTCTTTTTTCAATTGTACAGTTGATCAAAAACATGAAGAAAAGCTTTGCATAATATAATTAATAACAACAATTCCGGCACATTCAAATTGTGGTCAGCAACATGGACAAAACATAGCTTCCCCTTTTTTTTTGCTTTCTCAACTATCAGAACTTCATCTTGGGGACAGGATCTGTCAACTCCTCACATTTGTCTGCTCAAAAACACCTAAAGTGCTAGCAGACAAAGCGCTCATCTCTACAGTAAGCGCATACAGTGAAATGATCAGTCCTGGGCAGGTGGATAATCATGACAGAGCAGCTCATTAAACCGAGGGGAAAAGTTCTCGAATTGCAACTGCAGATGTGATAAATCTGCTGCACAATCACGGCTTGACTTTGTTTATAGACTCACTTTTCTTTGTGCAGACTGAGTGGGCCAGAAGCAAATTACATTTTTCCCCCCAGAGCTCATACTATTTTTACTCCGGCACGTAGAGTCACTCTGAGCGTTACCGACCCATGAATCAGCAGTATGTGGTACAATAAAACTGCATTTGAATCCAAAAACAAACAAATGTCAGGCAATTAAATATGCTGACAGGACCTGTAAAAACCCAGGTGGAGTCATTCAGGGTTCACAGGGCATTGTCACAGGTCAGGACACATGACCTTAAGGTCAGGGTTACAATACTGATATGACTGGGCAGGGAAAAGAGCAGTATATCCAGAACAAAGAAACCGATTTCTGAAAAGTGTGACAGCGCTGACAGCAATGGTCCATTGGTGATTTAGACTCTTTCAGGAGTTTTGGGGCTAAAGAAAAAGCACAATGAAACTTGTTCACAGCTCTACTTCATTGACCTTTCACCGGCCCCTCCCCCAAAACAGCCATTGTCCAATCACACATCATAGCAACCATTACTATGTAAGCAGGACCGTCAAACATTGACTCCAAGCAAGATGGTGAAGCGTTTGTACATAAGCCCACAGCGTTTGTAAATCAGACACTATGTACCCCAAGAAATTGTCTGGGGGAGTTTCCAAAGCAGAAACCACAACATGAGCGGTGCCTACAATTCGATAAAACAGTGTGGACGGCCCCAATCCCAGTTAAATTTGTCGAACCTGGTTAACTTGCGCGCAGAGTACTGAGACTGAGCAACTCCGATTAGTCAAAGCAATATGAAAGCAGATCAAGAGGATCCACAAAGGAATTATGTTTTCTAAAGGGTTGTTGTTAACGTGATATTCTTGGGGGGAAATGAGCAGCAGTCAACTAGCAGTGCAGCACCCGTGGACTAAGTAAAGTTACAGTTTAGAGGAGTGCACGTTCGCAATGGGGAAACTATGAAGCTTACTTGACGTCAGTTCATATATTACAGGTGCTCTAAGCGATGTCGTATTTTCAAACAAAACGGAGGCTAGATAGACCCTCCCTCCTCCTCATCTGCACTGACCCCCCCCCCCCCCCCCCCCCCCAAGCCCCACCCACAGGACCTTCTTGTCAGCTATTGGCTGGAACAGTTTGTTATGTTTCGTGGAGCGGGTTGCCGCAGTTTGTTTTTGTTGCCATTTGTGGAGCCTGTGTTGTCTGCATAGACCGCGTTTTTTTTTACAGTGTGTTTAGGGGACAGGCAGCTAGCGGATAGTGAGGAGATGTTTGCTGTATGTGACAAAAAAATGTTTGGGCCTAAAAAACGCGTGACATCGCTTAGAGCACCTTTAATATTGCATCGATTAGAAAGAACCTTAAATAATGTATGGTTAGCTGCATCGTTCCATCTCTTATGTATCGTTGCTTTTTAAACACGAAAATCCCATTCAACATGACACGCAAGCGGTTGCTGTGGTAATTAACAACCTGCTTGTTAAAGCGAATGTAAGTTATAACGTTAATCCTGTAACTGAGGCAAAATTACTAAATATGCAGTGCGAGTGCGATATATTTCTAACTCCAAACAATTAGGCACTGAACCAGCTTATATAAGGTCATGGGGTTTTCAGATTTCGCTTGAGACCGGTAAGTATTAGCCTCGATAGTAGTGGTGTCTCCTTCATTGCACATTTTTATATTTTGAATATTGCATATTGCCCTTTTGCCTCGATCTGGAGGATTTTGGTGAGGTATTGCTACAAAAAAGGTCACTGACACGCACAGGTATACACCTCTTCCCGTCATGGCAATCTGTCGTGCTGGTCGTGTTTGACCATTTGTTTGACGGGCGTAGTAACAATAACTAGGGCGTGTGGCTTTTGCGAATGGGCAATTGACTGGTGGGGCTATTAAGGGATTATAGGGTCTGCAAATATCTCCAAATCAGTTTTCTCTTGCAGGCTAAACAAGTTTACATTTTGAAATTTACAAAAAAAAACAACTTTTTTCAACTCAATCAACTCCTTTAACAACAGTAACTGATTTTTTTTTTTACACCAACCCTCATTAACCCCTTCCCCCAACTCCACTGTATAAGCATATTGATAAAACAGCAACAACAACAACAAAAATACAATTATTAAAATGTTCTAAAACAGCAACCAAATTGGCAAGACATTATTAAACAAACACATGAAAACATTGGCTCCCAACTGAAAACAGATAACAGGCATTCTAGGTGAAAGTTGAGTAAATAGGCCTACATATATCAAATTAAACAAGAGAACCTCCTAAATCATACTGAACCCATCCATTAACCTGATCGCAAATCAAATAACACATTTATATGAAATGCATGTTATTTTTACATCATCTAATTTTTTGCTGTAATAAATGCTGAACATGGTCAGATTTTTAGTAAATTTTAGTATTATATTCTTCAAAAATGCTGCACAGCTGCACAGACAGGGTAGTAATCAAACCCAGTGAGTGAATTTCTATTAGCATAGCATGCAATCAGCACCCTGCTAATGAGGGTTGTAAAGGGAAGGGAGGTGCCTCTAATGACCAATCAGCACCGTGCTTAACAGACCGCTATCTAATTGAAAAAAAAAAAAACCTGCCTCTGTAATCTTTTGTGTTCCAAGCAAAAGGGACAAACCCTTTCTAATCAGTTCCTTGCGCAGTAATGCAACCTGCATTATTTTTTCTGCTGAAAACCATCACTCAGAACAGTGTTTGTCTATAGTGAACTCTCACTCTTGTTCTATTGACTTCTGTGATGTACCCTTCAGGGTGTGCTTAAGAGGCTTTATACTGCATTTTTTTTTTCTCTGTTTGTGTGTGTATTTAGAACATTGTGAGGAGCTGTGCCTACGGCTGCTGTAGCCTTAGGCCTTTTAGGCCCCTCTGAGACAAACCTTCTTCCCAAATAGACCTCAAAATAGACCTCATCTCCACTCTTTATACAGTATAAAATAAATATAAAAACTCTTTACTCTAATACATTTGTGATGAGTAATACATTTTGCATGGCACCTAACTTTTTCAGCAGTAGCTTATTTCTGCTACAAAAGTAGCCATCACCATATATCTTGTGCGTTTAGGTAGGTAGTTGCTGAAACATATGAGATAAGAACATGCAGATGATGAGGCAGAAACCAGCATGTCCAGCGCATGTAGGCTTTAAATATACAACTTTTACAGTTGTATTGAAATTAGTGACCTCTAACTTAATGGAGTCTTTTTCGCTGTAAGATATCTGTACTTTTACTTAAATATGGTTTTCAGGTACTCTTTACACCTCTGATGATTATTCATATGGTATCACTGGCTGATCCACAACATGCAGGAAAGAAACCAAATGAAACTGTAAACCATAGCAGACTGAAAGTGTAAACTGATGTGCTGTGTAACACATGACCTCCTTTCATATGGAATAGCATGTAAATTAAAAGCTTTTGAGGTGATAAAAAGCTGTTTCTGCAGAAAGGTTTTCAAACCACAACCACCCGCCCCTCCGTACTTTCGACCTTGGCTTTTTACTCATGACTTCTACTTTATTTGAGGATCCTACATGAGATCTCGGTCTAGCAGGTGAGGGCATTAACTGGGGCAAACCGTTCTCCGCAAGGTCTTGGCAAGTAGCCACAGGAATGACGACCACGTTTGAGCAATGAGATGCACTTCAAAGAGTCATTGTGTAGGTTGCACACTTCCTGGCGCTTGACAGCATTTTGACACATTTGGATAAAATACGTCTATCAGCCTTTCGCAAAAAGGAAACAAGGTGTTGCTATGTGGGCTTCTGAAGTAGAACAAAATGAGGGTACGTTGTTGGCTCTCAGACACAACTATTAACAGGTTCTATCTTTAAGAAAGTGGTTCGTCCATCTATTATCTGCTTTTGTGCTTTTCATTAACTGAGAAAGTCATGTGGAATGAATAGAATCAAATTTATACACTAAGCTATTCTGAGTCAAAAGCTTATGGTAATGTGGCAGGTTAGTTATATAATTCAGGGCTTTTAAAACTTTCAAGAACCACGAAATATTCAATTCAAATTTCGGCAATCCCTATTTTGAAACAAATTGATATCCAAAAAATGTTCAAAATGCACAACTGTTTGTATGGTAAGATTTCCAATGTTTATAAAATAAAAATATTCACCAAGACTACATTTATTTGAGTTAAAAAACGTAATATTGTAAAATATTATTACAATTTCAAACAACTGCTTTCTATTAGAATATATTTTACAATGCAGTTAATTCCTGTGATTTCCTTCAGAAATCATACACTTATGTGGTGCACATTTCTTATTATTATCAATCTTTAATATATATATATATATATTTTTCAGGATTCTTTTATGAATAGACTGTTTAAATAAAAACATATTTTTATTTATGAAAACTTTTTATTTATAACATTTTTTTCCAACAAAATTGTTGATCAACTGAATCCTTGCTAAAGAAAAGTATTAAATCTTACTCACCACAAACTTATACATAATGTTGTGTTTAATATCAGTGTTTAATATATAACTATAAATCTCTTTTTATTTCTTTCAGTTAGAAGCTATGGCTGTTAATAGAATTAAAAAGATCAAGACAGTAAGTCAGTAAATGTGTTAATTAAATAAAACAAATTAAATATAAAAACTTAAAAAAATTCTTCTTTTTATTAAAAACAATATGTTAAACATATTTGATGAATATGTTAACACATTAAATTTGACAGCCCTAAAATACACATTATGTAAAATACTTTTTCTCACCAAAATGCTCCGCAGACCCCCTAGCACCCTTCTGCATGTTTGAAAACCCTGATAGATGAACAGTATTCTAATAGATGTGCCCGGATGATCATGTAGAGTACATATGCACATAGGTAAGAAGCATTATGGAGAAATAATGATAGAAGAGAGAAAAAGACTCTCAACAGCAGTGTATCTGCATCTGTGCTTGTGCCCTGCCAAAATGGCTGTCCTGGCTGCAGTGGCCCTGGGAGCATTCCTGTTTCATCTGTGGCTCTCCACATCAGGGCTGCTCCACACACACACACACACACACACACACACACACGCCTGGGACTAATTAGGAGTATCACAGCGAGAGGGTGGGGGTGTGAGGGGTAAAAGAAGTGGAAGGTGGTATAAGAGAATGGATAAGAGGTTCAGGACAATAACTGTATAAAAAAACAACTGTTCTCTTACCCCTCTTTCAGATTCCAGAGGTTCTGCTTTGACTCGGACTGCAGGCATTCCGTCTAGCATTAACATCCTGTTATTGATGGCGTCTGTGAGCCGAGAGAGAGAGAGAGAAAGAGAAAGGCATAAGAAAGCTGCGTGTGACTCCTCTCACCTTTTCAGTGATTGAGTCATACCTAGAATGCTCTGAAACAATAGTGCAGGCTTCAATGCAACAGGCAATGATGTCATGACGGTATGCAGTCAGTAAGCAGTTCAGGTTTAAGTCCGAGGGTAAACAAACGCATCTGGCTGTGAAGAGTGAATGTAGAGTAGTAAGAAATCAGAGAGAAAGCTGAGAGAGTCCAGGATAAATACAGCATCAAGTAAGCTTTTTTGTGAATAAACACCATTAAATAACTTTTGAGAGTAAAAATACAAGTTTTTTGTTAAACATTATAGAGATTCAAAATCTCGATGCAGAATACTCAATCAACTGGAAGAATATGTTTTAGAGTACTCTAGTTGGTGCCCAATCAAAAATAAACATCATTAAACATTTTTTAGTTTTTTTTTTTTTTTTACACCGACGGACAACGGCCGCCGTCCGCCGCCGCTTCCATCATTAATGACGACAAGATAGCTGCATCTGTAGAGGAGGCCAGCAACTCTATCCGGATGTCGGACAGTGAGGATAGGGCGAGCTCTGTGGACCTCCCCCCGCGCACAACCGACTGGATGGATGTCCAGCGTACCTCTGTCTCAGCAGCATTCTCTGTGAAGGACGGTGCTAAAGACAGAGGATACCAATCTCTTCCTCCAGTAGAAGAAGTTGTAGCGGCCCATCTTTGCCCGCCCTCTGCTGGACGGTGAGCTAAGATGGCGCTACATTCTAAAGCTTGCCGTTTTACTTCCGCTATGCACAGCCGCGCTTATACCGCCACTGGGCAGGCTGTATTGGCATTACACTTGATGGCCGTACTGCAGATCTTATAAGCTGACCTTCTCAGAAATGTGTCTCAGCTCTGAAACCTTGGAGAGCAATCTACTGGTATCAGTCAGGTGTAAACCTGGGGACTTCCTTGTGTGTGAAGGAAGTGTACACGGACGCCTCCACCTCGGGAGGGGGAGCACTGCTCGAGGGCAGACCGTTCTTTGGCCATTGGTCAGAACGGGAGAAGCTCCTACACATAAACTCTCTAGAAATGATGGCGCTGAGGCGTTTTTCTCCCCGAATAAAAGGTCACCACGTCTTGGTTTTGCTTGGACAACATGTCAGTGGTGGCCTACATAAATGGCCAGGGTGGCGTCAGATCCCGAAACCTTTACAGGCTGACGGAACGCCTTCTGGTCTGGGCTCAGCACAATCTGCGTTCATTGAAAGAAAATGTGGGACCACACAGACTGTCCAGAAAGAATGTTCCAGCAGGAGAATGGTCTCTGCACTCAGAAGGTCCTACTGCTGTGGGAGACATTCGGCAGAGCGTTGGTAGACCTGTTTGCATCCCAAGAAAACGCTCACTTTCCAAAAGACAAAAGTCTTTCTCCAAGAGCAGGGATGTGCTGGCCCAAGTCCGGCCCTGCTGCCCACTCTATGTTTTTCCCCCGTCTCGCTCCTGCCTCAGGTATAGGAACGAATCAGGGAAAACAGATGCTTGGTGCTACTTGTGGCTCCGCTCTGGAAAAACCAAGCCTGGTTCCCAGTTCTGATGCAGCTGACAAGCACTGCCCCATGACCAATACTGACGAGGAAAGACCTCCTCTCTCAGGCCAAGGGCTCGATTTGAAATCCTCGCCCGGAGCTGTGGTCCCTACATGCATGGGCGATCAACGGGTACCTGCAAACCTTCCAGAGGGAGTGTTAAACACGATCACGCAGGCTAGAGCGCCATCTACTAGATGACTCTATTCCTCAAAATAGTCTGTGTTTTCTGGCTGGTGCATAGCCTGAGGCTTTTTATCCCTAGACTGTGGAGTTACGGAAGTTCTCACCTTTCTTTAAGAGCTGCTGGATAAGGGTAGAACCCCATCCATGCTCAAAGTTTATGTGACGGCCATAGCAGTATTTATAAAACATGCGACTAGCCAGTCACTGGGGAAGAACGATCTGGTCATCCACTTCCTTAAGGGAGCTAAAGGGGGATGAATCCTCCCAGACGCCCCTCAGTCCCCATGTGGGACCTTTCCACGGTTTTGGAAGCCATGAAAGATGCTTCGTTCAAGCCAATCCATTTGTCAGACATGAAACATCTGTCTTTCAAGACAATGTTTCTCAAGGCTCTTGTTTCAGTGAAGCGCATGTGTCTGGAATTTTGGGCCAAATGACTCGGAAGTCATACTCAAACCAAGACACTGATACATGCCTAAATCCCTAAACACACCGTTCAGGGCTCAGGTTATTTCCCTGTCTGCCTTGCCGGTTTACAATGAGGAAAAGGGCACAAGCTTCCTTTGCCCAGTCTGGCATTTGTCTCACTCGGCATACAGGTCTGAAGGCTTGAAGTGTCCTTTAGGTGTTAGAGTGCACTCCACGAGAGGCATGGCCTCATCGTGGGCTTGGTCTAGCGAGATTACCTTGCAGGATAAATGTATGGCGGCAAGCTGGGCCTCTCCGTCTATATTTATAAGGTTTTATAACTTAGAGGTTCCCGCCTTACATGCTAAACTACTTTCGGTCTAAAATCAGTATTGTCTGCCCCATTGCTTCGGCTCAGAATACTACACCCGCTTGAGCACCACTTGCTGATTGATAAAATAACTCCATGGCAAAAGTAAGACCCATACCGTTACTCAGTTCAGGCCGAACATTTTCACCCTGACTTATTATCCCACTAACTTATTGAGAATGACACTTCTAGCCTCTCTTCTCAGACTCTTTTTGAGTCCCTGGTGATTATGCACTATATGAGCCCCGGGCACCTGCCCTTGGGACTTTGGTGTTGGATCCCAGCATGCACAGAGTTTTACACTGTGTTCCCTTAGTGTACGATATTACGCAGTTCGAGAGAACCTCTCGTAAGAGAACCTACTCGGTTACTAATATAGAGCTATATTTGAGCTATATTTATTGGCCCAGGCCACGCCCGCTTTGGCAGGAGGTGACGTAGTGGGTGCGAAGCGCCTCCACTGGATCTGACGTCACCAAGGGCCTCTCTCGATTGGCTGCTGCAGTTGCCGCAGGACAGCTAATAGGCACGCAAGCCGTCTTGCCTATGTCTCCATGTTGCCACAACACGTTTTACATTAATTCAAAATTAAGGATCATTTTTGGCTTAAATATCTCATGGAAAATAGGTTTTCCCCTAACGTAAGATATTACGCAGTACTTGTTTCCTCTTCTAGAGAAAACCGAGGTTACGTTAGTAACCGAGTACATTTTCAGTGATCTGAAAATGCATTAATGCCGAGTGTAAACAGAAAAGAACATTTGGCATCACCTAGGCAACCTGCTGCAAGTCTATAGAGTAGAGCTGCAAACACTTGCACTCACTTGTACAATATAGCTACATACAGTGCATTCACACATTCAAGGCTGCCTCTGCTATCAGAGTCTCCTGACATTTCTCTTCTTGTATATCCACACAAATGACAAGACTTCCTAACAGAATCCACGTCTTTGTGCAAACTACCCTCAGGCGTCTGAGTCTCGAAACAAAGACTAGAGGCTTCTTACAGCTCTGTGCTTTACAGTGGGCATTGCTCTACCAGACTCTTTCACAAATCAAAAAAGTGGCCACCTCCCATCCAAGGGATGCACGAGGAGACAGCCTTAATGAACTGGTGGAATCTGATTACAAGTTAATATAGCTCTTAGAGCACTGCATGATGGGGAGATGAGACGCTCCAAAACTCCCACAGAGACAGCTTCTCTCCCCCGTCTACTCAATTTACCATGTTTAACACCATAACAGCACAGTAATAGACACATGGGCATCTTGGGATATGTAATATTCATGTGTCCTCGTGTTTGTTTGGGTTTTGCCTTTTTGGAAGGAATGAGTTTTGTACATAAACAAACAGACAGGTGACTCGTCTTGAGGATAGAAAGAAATGTGGACATAAATCTATTCCTGTCAAAATGACTTACTTTGATGTGTGCGGCTCGTAGGAACATCTGTCACTAGTGTTGCAAATACGGTCAGTGTGGCTTTCGGAGTTGTTCCGACTCTTAGCAAAGGGGAAGCTCAGGAAAGAGCCAATCACAGCAATGCGATTGTGGCTCAGATGGAGTTGTCCTGAAGTAACCTGTGCACTTATTATTTTAGCAGCAGCACATGATGGAATGCAAGCAAAGCAGATATGCTTTAAACATCTCTATTGCACTTCTCCTGGCATGGGCAACAGGAAATGAGGCCCATTATCCACTGAATACATACATTGTCATGCATAAATAGCCTGTGTACATTTTCACACAGCTATTGTGTTTTGAAAAAATTCTAACATTTTGTCATGTCACAGTCAAACATTTTAGTCATTACTAATTTTAGCCATTAGAAAAACAATTAAAACAATTTGGCAAAGTGACAATATGCAAAAGTGACAAAAAATTATTTGCATGTATGTGGTCAGTAAATTTTTTCTCCTTTTTTGTTGTTGATAGAAATACTGTTAAATACTTGTATTCTGCAAGGATTCATTAAGTTGTTTAAAAGTGAGAGTAAAGACATTTTGAATATTACATATAATGTTACATTCAAATAAATGCTCTGTTCAATACATTCAAAAAATGTATCACTATTTCCACTCAAACATTATGCAGCACAAAAGCGATAGCGATTTTTGAAAAACGCTATTGAAAAGTTTATCGCACTAAAACATGCTTGTAACCAATCAGCAGTAAGGGGCGTGTCCACTCATGATGAGAGAGGGAGAGAGAGCTCAATGCACGAGACGGACATTAGCAGAACGACTACAGAAAGAGAGAGATGGCAGAGAAAATACAAAAGAGGAAAATGTCAATATATCTTTAAAAGAATGATTACAATCAAGCTAAATAACAATTAGACCTTCAACCTGAATTATCGTAACACAAATTGCTTTCGTTCATTGATGACATCATACCCTTGAGCAGCAGGCACAGCAAATTCCACCATAGCCGTTGCCCGTGCTTAGTGTGTACGTGAATGTGGGGGCAGAGGCATCAAGATAGGGGTGTGATCCATTTGGGTATAGGTGCATGTTTTTTTTTTTTTGGAGATTTCAAAATGTTAACAGCGTTTACGGGTAATCGCTTACTGCACCTTTAAAAACATTTCTTACTATCAAAGCAGCATATTAGAATAATTTCTGAAGGATCATGTGACATTACTAAGAAATGGCTGCTAAATATTAGCTTTGATATCACAGGAATCATTTAAAAGAATTAAAGTTATTTTAAATTGTAATACTATTTTACAAAATAATTATTTTTACAGCAATTTTGTCCAAATAAATGCAGCCTTGGTGATTATAGGAGACTTCCTATAAAATATATATAAAAAAAATTCCAATACTTAAATGATTTATAATATACAGTAGGGTGCAATTGAATTCAGTATACTGGTATAAAGGTCTTTCAACTCAAGCAGGATAATTCTGATCTAAACTCAATATGGTTGGATCACTTGCACAATTTGCTCTGCATTTCTCCTTGAGAAAACGTTCTCATGCTTTTATTAACATCTTGCAGTGTTTTTCTTTAATATATTGTCTTGTCATTATATAGCTAAATAAACAAAATAAAAAAAACATAAATTAACAGCAATTTCAGTTCAGAGATCAGCACTAGCATGCATGTTAGCAGTAGCATTTAGCAGTAGCACAGTTGAACTGTATTTTAAGCTTTTATAGCTTTAAAAAACAAAGGTCTTAGTCATAAGGAGTTAAAAGCAAAATATAATTTCTGTGTGAACTGTAACTGAGCGTGTTTCCAAGTTAATCTGTGTGCATTGGATTGATATTGTGATCAGGATGTCCAATGGCTCCAGGTAGTGGTAGGCTGAGATAATGTTGCCATGGCAACTCAAGTTGGAGCTCAGAGGGTTATTGTCCTTCTGGATTGACATGCGAGATTTCACAGATGACCAGGGCACCCGCTGTTCAACAGCCAGCTATTTTTTGTGCGTGTGTGTCCAAGGAGATGTCATCACACTCTTGTGAATTGTGTAAGCATATCACTCAGAGACATTGATCATTAGATCAGATAAATGAGCCAACCTCTTGCCTAACTAACCTTGTCCCTTAAGAGAGCTCCAAATGGGAAATCAATACCAAGAGCAAGGTCTCAGTTGTTTCATTAACCATCAAATGAACAGATTATTAGCATAATTGAGTACAGCACCATGAGGTTAACATTTAGGCACAATTTGTCTATCTTAGCTCCAATTGATTAACACTTAATCAAGAGGTTGTGATGGAGGATGGTGTTTCGCCAACTGTATTTAACAGTGGCAATGTGATACTAGAGGCAAGGGTAATGATGACTAATTCTAGATCCATCTTCCTCCGCCTTCTCCAAACAGCATAAATGCTCTTCGTCAGATTGTGCGATTTGTCTAATCCAGTATTCTGTCAGTGCATTACCCTAGCAGACCCTAACAAAGGAATTTTCACATTAGGACTTGTATTTGATGATTATGTATAATTAATCATCTTGTGCATGTACAGTTTAGTTTTAATTCCAAAACAGACCCATGTGTGTATGTTTGATTGCCTTGACCTGCATTCAATGAGATCAAGCACACAGAGCAGAAGTCCTTTTTGCATTTCTTTCTTCTGCGCAACACAAAAGAAGATAGTTTGAAGAATGTTTCAACTCTTTTTAATCATACAATAAAAGTCAATGGGATCATATTTTGTGTTCCACGGAAGTCAGGCTTGGAACAACATGAGGATGAGTAAATGTCTGACAGAACTTCGAAAACACTTTGCAATAAGTTTCAATTCATTAACATTTGTTGACAAGTTAACTAGGAAATACGTCTAAAGCATTTACTAATCTTAGTTCAACAGCAACTAATACATTATTAAAATCAAAAGTTATATGCTAATATTATTTAATGGACATGAACTAACAATAATCCGTTGTATTTTTATTAATTAATGTTAACAAAGATGAAAGAATACTAGAACCAATGTATTATCTTTGTAAGTTACAGTCATGCATTAACTAACTAACAAGACCTTATTGTAATGCGTTTCCGAATTTTCATTTTTGGGTGAACTATCCCTTTAAAAAACTGGAGAAATGGAAAGAGAGCAATCGAGCGAGCAAGAGAGACTAAGATCTCCGGGATGGCGAAATGAAATGGTGATCCTAGGTGTGAGCGTTATGAGCATGGAAGGTGCAGTAACTGAGTGCTCAGGCATCTCATTGCCATGCACGACTGGAGCCGTCCCCCGAGAGGCTCCCTGAGAAGAATGAGGGCAATTCAACTGGAAACGGGGCAACAGGGAGGGGGGCCGCCTGGGATTTGATTCGGCTGAGGATGGGGGAGCCAAGGGAGGGGATTGGCTGGCACTCCCATGCCCAGCCATAGCTCCAGAACTCCCCGATGGACGTTGGTGCAGACGGAGCACCGGCGAGCAGACCCCAACGAATGACGAGCGGATCAATATGAGGTGACAGGCCTGGGTGGAAAAACCTGACCTTCCTGCACCCCACGCTGACCTTGCTACACAAAGATTTAAAGAGTATTCAACTTGCCCCCTGGAGCCGGTTGCATACCTCATTGTATAACTTTCTGCCTTGCCAAGCCTAGTGTGGCATTGATGTGAGGGGCATTACAGTGTATAGTGGGGACCTTTATTGAAGTGCTTTGGAGGTATTTATAAAGTAATAGCATATAAATGTGTCAAGGGGTGTGAAATAGGGAAGCACTGACATTAAAAGTTTGGTCGATACCGAGCATTAAATAATCATTTTCGTGTTATGGCAGATATTTAAATTCTCTACTTTTATGTCTAAATTTTTATTTTTATTTGCATAAATAAATAAATATTGGTTTTTTTCTGTATTTAGTTGTTAGATTAACATTAAGAACACAGCACAGAAAGCAGCAGCTAATATAGGCTCATGTCACTTTAAGAGCTAATGCATGGATCCAATATACTGTTAAACATGTTTGCATTCTCAAAGGTTTAATCACCAAGACGGGTATCTTAACATAATTTTCTGTGTATTTCACGCAGAAAAAACGCAAAAGAGAACTCAATTTCTTTTTTCCGTAGCCTCTCTTAAATATCGAATTGGTTTCTTTTTCACATCTTGTTCTTGAATAGTTCAAAATGACTTGATACTAGACATGCATACGATCAACCTTTGTGACGATTCTGACGAAGCAGCACTGGCCTGACAATTCTTCAATAAACAGTGTCTTTCATGCTGACATAAGATAGTCCTTTACTAATTTATAAAAGTTTTTTTTTTCTATATATTAATAGTTATAATTATTTATTTCAGTTTATTTCAATTACCGAATACTATTTTTAACACTTTTTGGTTTTAGAAAACAATAACAACAAACAACATAATAACTAATATACAGTTGGCCGATATGTATAAAACATCCATGAAAACATCTCCAAAATCAGACAATATACATCCTAGTATAAAATATTCCAAAACACCAATAAATTTCAGAATAAATAAGACCAAATTTGGAACATGAGCAGAAAAGAAAGAGGAGCAGGATGATCATGCTACTGCTTGGAGGCGTTTCATATCTGAATTCATATCTGCACTGGAGGAGTAGCGCACTAACAGACGGGTTCCCTTGGTCCTGCCAATGCTTTGTTCCCATGTTGAGAGCCCAGAGCAACTACAGTCATCTGTGGCACAGAGGCTGGTCCTGCTGCCATTGGCCGAAGGGGGAAATGCGGATAGGAATGAGAGAAGGAGGAGGAGGTGGTTGAGGAGGGAGGTAGAGATTTAAGCACTGGAACTCAGCCAAGAACCAGACAAGAACACTGAACTCAAACATGCCAAGAGAGCCTCTCAGACTCAACCAGAGCAAAAGAACAGCATTTTATGTAACATTAGACTCCACACTGAGAAGAAGAGCTATTGAGAGCTGCTTCCCGCTGATCTTTTGTAAATAGATTACCTTGCCTTTTGATTTGCAAAAAAATAACACCCTGGAAATATTAAAGGTGAAGTGTGCAATTTCTGAATCACTAGTGCTAGATTGAAAAATAAAATAAAAAAGTGACTGTCTGTAAAGAGAAAGTTCCAGCCCAAACTCAAACTTTTTCACATCTACATTATGGATTTTATCAAATAAAGTTCCTGCTGATATACCGAATAAAAATCCTGTAACCACACAAGTCAAAAATGCAACAAGTTTACATGATGCAATGAGAATCAGACTTCATCTCGCCACTGCCAGACAATGTCTGCAAGACAGAGCTCGGCTCAAGCTCACTTCCCACTTTGGAGCCCCTGTAAACAGCAAATATGACGAGTCAGCACTCTGTCATTACCAGTAGAGAACTTGGAGGCTAAATAGGCTACCGCCTGGACACAGTAACTCAACCTCGGGGGGCAGAAGGAGATGTGATGGTATTTAAAGGAAAGCTCGGTTTGTTTCAGTATCATGATTTTTTTTTTCTGCACATTGTATCAGTCATGAGATTTTTTGGTGTATTAACCATCTGCTATCATAAACTGATAATAACAACTAAGTACCATAGCACACTTCAAGGACACTTACCAAATAAAAATAAAAAAATAATAATAATGTCATCTAAGGTACTGTCAGAGTACTGCATTTAAAGAGGAATTTACTTCTTGACTTCTGTCCTTACACAAACTGAAAAGCGAATGAATTTCAGAAAACATAATACAATCACACCCACATCCATATCTCTTCCTAGTAGAGGGATTCTAACCCCAATGCTCCCCATACTTCGGAGTGGACTATATTTCTTTAGTTAATCTTTTCTGCCATACTGTGAATGTCTTCAGACTTTCCATTTCATAAAGCGCATTTTCCTTGGCAGGCAAGTCTGTGCCCTAAGACTTTGGCCGCTATTGGGACCTTTTTTGATTCAAGCTCTAGAGAGATGTGCTGCTTCAGTACCAGCTGAGTTTGTGGATAAGTAATCTGAGTGCGTGTTCTCCTCCCTGCGCATCCAGACGGTAGCGCTTCACCTCAGGGAGCCCACTTTGCCATTTTCCTCTGGCTAAAAACAGCCACACAACAATGCCTGTCATTCACGCGGGCCCCCAACCAAGCAGATTTGCTGTCTTGTAGCTCTCTTTATTTTTCTGAGTGTGACAAATGTACTCTGACTCAGAGACGAACAGAAGGAGTGCTGAAAGACATGACCAGATAAACTCCTCTGAAAAAAAATTAGGTCACGAGGGAACGCGCTACTCTCGAATGCCCGTTTTAGAGCCATGC